AAAATAGGAGCATGACCCAGTACAAGCCGCTAGGTTTTCCGAAGTCAAACATTTTCAGTCTTTAGTGGCTTGACTTATATCTGAGAACTATGGAAAAATGTCATTTTCATCATCGAGATTGGATGTCACAGGAAGTGTGGCCAGGTTTGGGCATTCTCTAGCCCTGAGTACTCGATAAGAAAGGATATAAAAGAAGTAGATCCCATGTAATACGCCATTTCGCTGTCTATTCAAAGAACGAAAGGCACCGCTATGCTCTATAGCCCAAGACTATTCTTTCAACCAATTTGCCTTAGCTAGAGAATCTGAGAATCTTAAGGAAAGATGATTGAAAATCGAGCGCGTTATAATATGACCAAAGAGCTAAAAGACTCACTTTTTCCCCCAATCGGAGAATCCAGACCTACACGTAAAGGATGTCTAACTATATTAAACCTTGATTCTAGTTTTAAGCATCATTATCGGGGGCTTTAGGCGGTTAGGATCATGGTGGAGGACATTGCTCGCATAGAACCCGTGTATGTTGATTTGCTCTATAGTAACGAATTTTCTCATGGGTCTATATACGATGCCAATGATTTCTTGAACAGGGAATGCAAATGGAGTACACATTCATTGGAAAATTTCCAGGTGCAGCCATGCCGGTGCAAATGTGACCAGCCGGCCGGGGGGGCTTGGGGTTTGGGGTTTGGGGTTTGTTAGCACCTTTTTCTCTAGGTTATTAAGAAAGTGTTGGGAATGGGAGGTAGGTTTTCTTTGGAAGTGGTGTTTCCCGATGGAAAGGGTCTTCGGCAGAAAACAGGTGGAAAGGTCTAATGCACACACACAACAAAGAGGTATGCAAAAGATAGGATTGAAGAGAGACGGTTCATGAGAAGGCACGTAGTCAGCTTGATTGACAAAGAAGAAGGGTTATGTCAAGTATGCTCGAGAGCAGTTCTCATATCATGAAGAGATGTCAAACTTGATTCAATTTAGTTAGAAAACATGGTGATACTTATATCGCGGGGTACACGGCAGAATGACAAATAAAATAGGAACATCCTTGGAGTGTTGAGTAGTCTCCTGCCTAGGTAGGCCATTGCATGTAAGTGTATGCAATTGTATGTAAGATCGTTGAGGATCAATCTGATCGATCTCGTCGTCCGACGAGGAGGTCAAGTCATCCAATGAGGGGTAAGAAAAGTGGGTCCTTGGTCGCATATCGACCGCACAAAGGGAAAGCCCCGCATTTGCCATTCAGATGCATTTCAATTCAGCATGCATCTACCATACATGCTGACAGAAAGTGTTCCTGTAGATGAATTCGCGCCATGGTCGAGATACTGTGAGATAATATATTATACTTACATGATGATCTAAAATCAGTATCCCGATAACTAGAAGCTATGCAGAACGATGTGAAGGAGAGGTGTGATACCGTCTGACAATCCTCGGATATCTCAAAGAAGACCTATGGCGTGATCCATCATTCCGAAAGCAGTCAACCCAATCAACTCTGCTATAATCAAGATACTAGGCTGTCTTTACCGATTCAAGGGGGTTTCCTAGAGGGAGGATTCCGATATTCATAGTTAATATCGCTGTCGTTGAGTATGGGAAGTCTTTTGTTTCCCGTATTGCAGCAAAGTCTCGATCTTACTCCACTAGCTACCTCTGTAATATGTGCCACACCGCTTGGACAATAGAACACCTTTATCAAGGGGCAAGATTGTCGGATTCAACAACATATCCCTGAATTCAGTCAAGTTTTGTGGCCTTCTTGCAGTGTCAGGGGGTCATCATAGAGTGGATAGGGGCAGACCTAGAATCAAACCTTGAATATCATTCTAGACCTTGCCAAATCTGAGGCTGGGAGTCCCTATGAATATCCATGGCTCTGTGAAAGCAAGCCTACAGTCACAATTGGGGATGGAGAACCTAATGAACCTAATTCAGATAGAGATTCTCTATTTGAGCATACACTAACAAATGTCAATGACTGCATGTTTTTCATTGATATGTTACGTATCCAGGCAGCCAGTGCGACTCTTTTTTGGTAGGAGCCAAGCCCCTGAGGCCAAATAGTCGTAGGTGTTCTTGAATATTAGACGTGGCAATCAATCGGAAACTCAGAATGTTTCCTAAGTAAGCCATGATGGTCTAAGATGTACCTGAATATCAAGATTAGGTACTGCGCCGGGGGACCGAAGGATCTTCCTGAACCCATGTAGAATGCAAGGGCATGATTCTGGACTTATTAAGAGAAATAAGTCGGAGTCTCAGAGACAATCGCATCCTCATCCTCTAATTCAAATGGATAAGTGGTACAACAGTCAAAAGTCTTATCTCTGAGACACTGGAACAAAAGCGGGCTTGGCCCAACTGTCACCCGCAGGGCCTCTTATCATTGACTTAATGAACCGCTCCTTTATGATGGTGATTCACGGCGTTGGGCCCCGGGCAGTCCAGAAAATATGACGCCCATCATATCATGTCATAATCTCTCAAAAGGTGGTATCTGTGCCCTCCACGCCCCCGTGCCGCTTCGCTTTATGGGTGCGCCCCAGGGGAGTCGCCAATTTCACCAGACTCGCCATATACCTTTTGTATGGGAATTATATATAAAAGGTATATATAGTAATTCTATCTAGGTGTAATTCTATCTTATTTTTCTAGCTTATTATAATATAGATATATAGACGCTTGGTATTCTTTACTATTTTTAGTTCTAAAAGGAAAAATGAAAGTGGTTAGAAATATATCTTTTTTTTGATATGAGAAATTTTAAGGAGCCGCTGATAGAAATTAGAAAGACTCACGAATCTAGTAGTAAAACTCTTAAAAAGGCTTTAATCCTTTTTATCCTAGATCTTTACCCTTAAGGATCGTAATACTACTATTATAATAAAGTAGTCCCTAGTAAATATACCTTAATATTTAATATAGAGGGTAGGTACCGTTTATTTATAACGCCTATACAAAGAGTACATGGCGAGTCTGGTGAAATTGGCGAGTCCCCTGGGGCGCACCCATAAAGCGAAGCGGCATGGGAGCGCCGAAGGTAATAAAAGCGGAGGGCACAGATAATGGGTTGCTGTGAGTACCCCTGCATTCTCATTTGTGAAGCACACCCTAGCTCGACTATCGGGCGCATAGTTATCAGCAACTTGCAAGAGTAATCGGGAAATATCTTTTCCCGCCAATGAGGTATGATCTATGCATGAACATAGCCTCGTCTAAATCGATCTTCTTTGTGTCCACGGGGATCGTCATTGGAATCGGACCAGTGATTGACACGGGCCATTGGTCCGATCAACTTGAACTAAAGCTTGGCTGTAACATTACTAGGGATTCCAAAGTGATTTCCTGCATAAGCGCCTTCGGCGCCCTGCTGTAGAGATCCTAGAATCTTCGGAATGTTCCAATGCTCGCCTTGCGAGCCTCCAGGTTCTGCTGACGAAAGACATCTCGACTAACTAGGCTAAAGCTTCCCGACCTCGTATCCGCCCACCCTTTTGTGGTGGAACTTAGCTTTAGGCTACAGCCTGAATCATGCCAATCTTTGTGGCAGCTACGAGCGAGGATTGGCATGTAGTTTCAAGGTCCCTGGGCATTGCTTGATATCGCCCAAGCCATGACAATCATTCTTGGCATGTTGATGGCTAGTCGATTGCGATCCTGTGATATCTGATGTGCAGAGCGAGCGTTTTGGAATTAGAATATGGGTAAGAGTACCCGCCACCAGGCAAACGCATACATACAGTCAAGATTATTCAAGTATCCATGATGCTAACTATGCCAAGAACGGATGGACCTTTCGATATTGAATAGGATCTACAACAATTTGCTATCCCAGTTGCTTTGGCCCTGGTGCTGGCGGACATTACCCCAGACCAAGAAAAGGCCAAGAAACCAAGGAATTAAGATAAGCCACCGTTATGGCAGCGGGTTTTGAGGGGGGTGTTAAGACTTTGATCTTAAGATCCTGACCGCTTCTTCTTATTCGTGCTCCCGTTTTTAACGACCGACAGCACGCTACTGCCCAAAGTGGAAGGCACTAAGCTGTCTGCAAGGAATATATATTACCTTTGGGATGAAGTGGAGCCAATTGTGGAGAAGCAAAATGAACCTCGGATGGTGCTTCTCTTCGGTCTTGCGCAAGAACCACTCAGCGTCGCGCGATTTAAGAAGAGACTTCGAGCGAAGGTTGATTTACGTTTTACCTTGACAAGCGAGCTCGTCTAGGTCTTCCGCGATCAACGATACCCAAGGTTAATTTTGGATATGGTTCAATCTGGGGCGGAAAATAGTGTCGCCTGATAAGGTCAATACCCGGACCCTCGGGGACAAAGTCGCACATCTGCAATTGCAGGAAGCATGGGAAAGTTACATAGTTGTGCTGGTCGGACAATTTCTCCCCTCCCCTAGCTTGGATAAGTGTCAAGTCTTACAGCACGCACGATTCTCCAACAGGGATTTTCGATTGCCAGCTCGCTAAGGATGAGGCTAGTAGGGGCCCAAGCATTAGCCGGCAGAGATCCGGCGTTAGCCGGGTCTAAAAAGTTACAATGTAGCATTGCTTCAAGACCAGACCCCCCTGGTCTAATCCCCGATTATCCTAGAACAACTACTGGCCCGACCAGAATTGCTGGCGAGAGACACTTTGCACATGCTAGCCAGCCAACTATCCCGAGCCTTCTTCCTCTCCTCCCCACTTCCGATCCTATCCACCTAGTACCCATGGCCCACATATCCAGACACATGATATGATAACAACCCCACTTTGCATCACTATGCACGACGAGGGAATTGATAGTTAATACTGTACCGTAATAATTAGGCGATATGGACTGCAAGAAAGCACTGGTTAGAACGCAGCCTTTGTCATGCAGCGATCCAGTCTCATTGCAAGTGTATGATACAATTCAAGGATCTGCGAAGATAAAACACACCCCGAAGGAAAGAACAATCCAGAAAGAATTGAGATAAGACTGAAGAGCCCAGAACGAGAGAGAGCAGAGGCTGAGGATCCGCGATAAGGTCAACCAGACCGGACTAGCTGAGGACCATCTCCAAGCCACGTTAGCCCCAACTGGAAACTAGACACCTCGACAGGCCACTTGACCAAGTGGCCACCACCTGAATCAAGCTAGCCTAACTAATACAAAACCAATCTCACTACTGAACTCTGGCGAACGCTCCCACGAACGGCGGATTCAGCATGGTGCTACTCGACCCCTCCCGCCCGGAAACGTTTCTAGACGGCTCACATCGGACAGTGAGCAGGGGCAATCACAGAAACAGCCAATGCGCAGCTATCACCCCCTCTCCTGTGCTGTACTGACCTCGCAGCATGCAGCAGGCCCGGTCATCGCTACCTTTCTAGAAGCCGTGGCGAACTTCCAGATTGGTGGATGCCTTGCGGTTTACCCCAGGTCCGCCACGAAGTGGATACGTACCTGCGCACTTTGGCGGAATTGATATCGTCAATCATCGGCGGCTTGTCGCAATTGGCTCCTACAACTCGGTCTGCTATCTCTTAAAAAGCCTCCTGCATCTCCACCGAAACGTTCAATGATTTAATGATCTCCATCGCCATGAAACTTGGCTTGGAAGGGTCCGACTGCTGATCCTATCTCATCCTTTCACCTCCATTGCTCCTACTTCTGTTGTTTTACTACACGCCCTACTTATACCACCAGATATACCTCCACAATTATTCATACCTTGGATCTCTCCGCCGCCCCGCCCCCTCTCTATTCTTCTGACATAAATGGTTCCCTAGCAACACGTCAAGGACCAACCCCCTCTTGTAGCTATGACGCGAACCGAACCTACGAATAGCACGACATCGTGGGAGACCAAGAGTATTGCTGCTCTTGACGATGCCCACCGAATTGACTCGGTCGGCCAAGATCCTCGTCCCAGAGGGCGAATTCGCCGCTCTATGACTGCGTGCAACACATGCCGCAAGCTGAAGACTCGGTGTGATCTGGATCCCCGGGGACATGCTTGTCGTCGCTGCCTTTCTCTCAGGTTCGTCATATTGCCTTCTCTTTTAATTGCTCGAGCTGCACCTTGGTTTTCAATATTTCCCGCGTTTCCCGTTATCTTGGTTATCTTGGTTCTTGTGTTGTCCCCACTACTGTTTGATCTACATATAATTGGAGCATGATACATCAAGACCCAAAGCCTTGCATACTTACCCACCAATTACCGCAAAACGGTGCCCATAGTGCTAATCCATACATTCTTCAGGCTTGATTGCGAATTACCAGAAACGCAGGATAGATTCCAGGATAATGCGTCCACCTGGTCGGACGCCAATGCAGCAATACCTTCCATCGAGGAGCGGCTTGTTTCCCTAGAGCGCGGGATGGGTGAGATGATACATTTGATGCGTCAGATGATCAATCAGCCATCTACAGTTGCTGGTAGCCCCCATTCTCATGCCACACGCAGCGTGGATGATGTGGCATTGGGCGAAAATTGGCCCGCGCCATCATTTACATTGAAGCCGGTGCAATTCATCCGGGACTTACAGATTGAATGCTTCAGAGACCAGCTCTCCACCGAGGCAGATCTGCTGGGTGATGTTGTGTCTCAAGGAATAGTTGATGCAAAGTTGTCCTTGAAACTGATCGAACTGTGAGTTGCACGTACTCGAAATGCTCCCAATGCGGAAACTGACCGCTTGATAGATTTGTCGAATATTTTAGTCCCTGGGTCTCAATAGATCTCTCATCCAGCATCCAGAGAACAGATACCCTGCTGTTTAATACTGCGTGTCTCTTGGCATCTCGTTATCTGCCAGGCATGCCTGCAAATACGATCCACGAAATTTCGATGCATGTGCAGCACGGGGTCACCAAAACCCTCTGGAAACAGTCGCCCTTGACAAATGACCTGCTTCAAGCGTTGGCATTGCTTTGCCTCTACCCTACTTCCGGGCATAAAGAAGGCTTCATGGATGGGTGGTTGTTGAGCGGGATCTCGATTAATCATGCCTTAACCACCTTCAATTTTCTCAGTAACCTTCCTACCAAAAGTGTTTTGACCGATGAGGTGCTCTCTCAAATGCGCCTTTGGAATACCCTCTGTCTCACTCATTTGCAGTATGTGTTTCTACGATGCTATTCTATTTCTCGGCTAACCATGGCTAAGTTCTGCTCTTGGATATGGCCGCTCTGTGAATGTGCAGCAACATCACCTTGATTACTGCACTCGCATTCTGGACCATCCGAGGGCCACCCCCGAGGATGGCAGAATTGTCGCAGAAATAAAGCTATACCAAATTGCTTTAAAGATCCAGCACAATCTCCAGCGCCTCCGATTCGCTGAAGGCGAATATGAGGAGATTGAACGGTGGAAAATGGAATGGGCCCATCTGATCGGTCAGTCATCCGTTTAAAATGCTCAAGTGAACCTTGCTAATATATTCATTAGCAAATGGGGGCCCATCAACGCTCGAGCTCAGCATTTGGTTCTGCCAATTACTTCTTCACAGAACCGCCGCTCGATTGCAACCAGAATCCGACAGACTCGTTGCTGAAATATGCAGCAATGCACGTTTGATAATCTCTCGCTCCCTTCAAACTCGCTTTTCCGCTGCGCCAGGATTGATCGATAACGTGTACTATATCCTTGGATATGCTGCTCTCACTCTATGTGATTACAATCCCTCAGATCCTCAGATTGACCAAGTGCGGGCCTTCATGCTCCACCTTGCTCCAAGTAGCGACCACCTGGCCTACAGGATTGCGTGTATTGTTGGAGAAGTACAGCGCAGATATTCCGAAGCAGCCAGTGCAGAGCAAGCGTCACCAAACGGTGATGTACTTAAAGGCTCTTTATTTGTGGTGCCACCATCGCGATCGGAGAACCTGGACCTGGCACAACTCATGCCTGCATCTGGTATGGAGTCTCTTGTCGAGGGATATGGGTGTTTTGAACAGCTAATTCCTGCTGGCTACGTGCCTTCGCAACCGGCATTCTCGGCACCTGCCATGTTTCAACATCCTTCAGCGCCAGTCACTGGTGGTGCAATGCCTATAAGCCTGGTACCGCGGGCATTGCACGATCTATGAGGGGGTTCATATTGGAGTTGCGAGGGACTTTTTTAATGGTAGTAATAATGAACAGGATGGAATGACGTGATAGCGAATGGATATATGATTATCGTGTTTTTAGTTACTCTCGAAAACGCCCCATGCTTTGCAGGCAGCCTGGAAAAAGCACATGCGGTCTTTTATCTTGACACATACAATGTGCTAATGAACCTTGCATTAATAACCCACTACTTTTGGCACAATGCATGTGAAATGAAGTAGAAGTCTACAGCCGCTTTCAGTTATCGCCGAGGAGATACTCCACAATTTGAGCGTAATAAGTGGAGAAGGATTTTAGGTCCATAAAGACTTCCAATATTCAGACAACACTAAAGATAAAGGTATCCACTCAGGCACAAATTGTAGACCCCTTAATATTCGAACTGGGATACAAAATCCTTGGTTCTCCACTCGCCATCGGGACAGGCACGTTGCCACTACTGTCAACGGTGATGCTTGCACAAGTAATGATCTCCGTCAAAGTAGTCCCTGCCCCATAGCCCGTATTCCCCAGTGAGAGCGTGTACTGGCTCCCACCTGCCCCAAGATTCGAGAGAACGGTAACAGTCTGTGTGCCATCGGCTCCCTTACGCATTGCTAGGGTGCTGCTGTCTTGATAGATAGGGTAGTTCTTGTACGTGATATAACTATCGCTTTCGGTGATAGCATGAGACCGAATGGCATTCGCTTTGGCGATGAGCTTGTACAATTCGCTCTCAGTACTGTAACCGGATAGCCAGACAGCCTCGCGATTGGCAGGATCGCTGCCACCACTGTAGTGCTGTTCCTGGCCGGCGTAGATGATCGGGATGCCATCTGCCATGATGGTGAAGGCCGCGGCGTTCTTGGCTAGGGACATGTCATTGGTATACCTGCGAGGAGTGAGCAAGTGCCATATTTTTTTAGAATCACGAAACCAGGTGGTCGTACGAGGCAAACCGAGGATTATCGTGGTTCTCCACAAAAGTTCCAAGAAGGGTGGAATCGGAGCAGGCGGACTTCACCGTGTTGATCATGTTGTAAAGGTCGCTTATGCTCCCGCTGGTGGACTGAAAGGCCCGAAGTAGGGGGTAGTACCTAATTTCTCAATTTAGTTGCCAGGGGAGCAAGCTGATCACAATATATACTCACATGGGATAGTTTAGCAATCCATCCATAACCTCCTGATAAGGGCACGTGTAGGCTGCATCGCCATCGAAGACCTCGCCGATACAGTAGACGCCAGCAGCTTTGTTATAGCCAGGCCAGAAGTCTTTCTGAACATGCTTGACCGTGTCAACGCGTAGACCGTCAACTTTGTTTGTCTCATGTTAGCCAAAAGGTCATGCCAGAATCGGATGTCGATAACTTACTCGAATAGTTGGAAACTAAGGAGCCCACCCAGCTATACCATATATTCTGAACCGTTTCTGATTCGGTATTGAGATCGGGCAAGGAAACAGTAGTGTCGCCAAGCCAACAATCCTCCACATTTGTCTGGTTACTGTAGTCTGTGACCTCGCAGTATGAGTGGAAATAGTCATTTGCGTTGAAGGGGTTGAAGACGCTATAGTCAACAGTATTGCCAGCGCCAGCGTAACCCTGATTTTGGTCATTAGCAACGCCTTGTTTTATGATATGACCTTGTCCGAGACTCACCAAGTGGTTAGCCACAACATCTACCATGAGGTACATGCCACGATCATGGAGGGCCGAAGCCAGAGACTTGAAGTCACTGGCTGTTCCATAGTTTGAGTTCAAGGAATAGCTAATGCTTCGTCAATTTCACTCGAGAGAAGAATAGGCTACATCAAGACTTACATATCCTGTTGCCAGTATCCATGATATGCTGTGCCGTCCCCAGTATCTCCTGTCAGCTGACCAGTAACAGGAGTGATCCAAATGGCGGTAAAGCCCATTCCCTGGATGTAGTCTAGCTATCATCATAATTAGACCAAGGGTTCCGAGGCGACGAAAGACTTGTACTTACCTGTTCAATGATCCCTTGCCAGGTACCACCGCAATATACCTAATAGAAAGTTGTAAGCCGTGTGTCGTTGGGATCTCGAGGCATCATCACAACCGAACGTACCCGATCGTTGGTATTACAGGTAGCCGTGGTTGAGCCATCCGTTCTTGCAAACCGATCAGTGAGCATGAAATAGATTGACTGTGAGCGCCATTGAGCAGGAGTCGCAGCAAGGACTGAGCCGAACAGGCCCGTAAAGAACAGATTGCGTAGGAAAGACATTTTGCTTGTACCCAAATGAGACATCAAGTCTTGACAAGGCGAAGAAAAAGTTAATCCAATGCGTTTTTATATCAAAATCGTCAGGTCTGACGTCGGTCCTGGCCGTGTAATTTGTTAACTTGGTAAATCCTGACCCATACCGATGTTGATTTCCCCGCACTCATCGGGAATTAGATGCCAGAAAATAGGGCAATCACCTACAGATCAGACCCAGCTGCTGCAACTCCTAGAAGAAGTTGAAGATGAGAGTCCGCAGCGACAAGGAGATCGACAGCGATCGCCATACAATCTCCAGTGAATGCCCGCCCCTGGTAACTCTAAGCTAGCGGATTGGCCGTAGGGAACAGCAACCGAGATAGGAGGTTCCTACTTCACAACAGTGCAGAGCAGGAAACACACCAGTGTTCGAAGAGGAACGATCCTCATCTCCAAAGCAGCAGGAACAGAACGTCGATTTTCGCGTGCGTAACTTACACCAAATTAGCCTGGTACAAAGTCAAGATCCAATTCGTTCGAATCCCGATCTTCTCGACAGGGGCCAATTCGCCCGTTTCAAACAGAGAAGCAGGCCCCAATGGATGTACGAAGGATGATTGGCACAACATAGACTCAAGTAAAGTGCGTCCCCGCCAAGACTAGTAGAAGGAATGGGACGTGGCAAGTGCGGTGTGCAAACGGTAGAGGCTGGGTACTGTATGCCCGCAATAATTACAATCACGGGTGACAGGATCGCCAGTCTGACAGGGGTATCGAGCAATCAGCGTTTAGGTTCACGAATTCCCTAATCTGCCTACCGTGAATCTTCAGGGTCGCGCTTGCTGGGGTTGCAACGAGGACTGGAAGAGTGATTGGCGAATAGCAAGGGGTTTGGGGGCGGTTGTCGATCATTTTCCTGATCGCGGTGTTTCGCCGCTTGGGGGCTGCTCGAGCGAGGAGCTGGAATACGGAGAAATAGGCGGTTCCTTTAATACAAAGTACAGCCTAGGTAATCTAAACCTTTCGAGTTTGTACGGATCCTATAGCATCTGCAGTACATGAGGGCGGAGAATGATGAACTGTTTGTCGGTGAAAGAGTCCTTACATTTATGAAAGATCGCGATCAGTACATTAGTCTTAGTCTAGGATGGATTGTACGGTCATTATTTTTAGGACGATGGTTTTGAATCCATTGGACTAGACTGATTAGCCATCGGCTAGAGTTACCAAAGCCCTCCTTGACGGTGCCGACCAATTAAGCAATCCGCAACTCTTTGACATGACAAGTCGAGTATGGAGTCAAGAACAATAATTGATAACAACATTCATCCTATGTCTTAGGCTTGAGGTGTCATTGGTCTTACAAATATGATCTCTCCTCTATCCGATAAGGTCGGGGTTCGGATTTCGGCGGATATCCATCATTATTCGGGCGGAAGCTGCCTTGTTGAACGGACTGGATCGGGATGAACGGGCGATGGTGAGAAGGCGTTTTGCAAATTGGACCAGCCATCACGGCTGAGATCCACATTTCGTATTTTGCCGAGTCGATTCGGAAAAAGTCTGAATGCAAATCAAGTCATCGATCTTCAGAAAAATATGGGCGAGGCTGGTATCGCCCTCTATCATGTGGGGGCCTTAAATTTCTGCCGGGCATCATATTACATAGTTGTTCTATCTAGTAGCTACCGCCATCTCACTAGCACACCGCCATTGAGTGGAGTTTTGATTAAGTTCAGAATCTTGACTAAAGTTTTCAAAATCATCATACTAGAAATGCTTTAAAGGATAGCTAATTAACTACCCACTTAGATCCAGAGATATTATGTGGGCTATCCGGAAAGATATCCCAAAAGAACTTCCGAAGGATCCAACTTGTACTCCGTACTCACGATGGCCTAGCAAAGTTTAGCCCGTCAGGCAGAGATCTAAGACCCAAGGGGACTCGCGTGGGAAATTAGGGGTGGCAGCAGCCTTACTCAAAATGATGGATTTATTGACTGGCTTCTCTTGACGTGGAAACGGGCGAAACCTGTTAGCCCGATATGAAATGACATGGTTTTATAGGGTTTCGTATACAAGACATAGCAAGCTAATCAATACTGCTAGTGATGTATACGGTCATTATTGACACACTCCTTCACTTCTGCCCTTGACGCACGAATCATTACCACTTCAGGACCCAACTGCTTGCAAACGCTCCCTTCGATGTCAACTCCTGCAAATCAGTGACCGACAGGACGTGCGAGGTAGCATTGTAGTGGACGGACGCTGCCGGAACGGTCTTGCCGTTGAGAGTCACGCCATTAGGCTTGTGAGTGACGCCTAGGACGTTGACATTTCCGAGCGCATTCTTCTCTTGCCAGTTTCCACGGGGCTCAGCGCTCAGGCTGGACTTGGTAGCCTTGAATGTGACGGTCAGAGTAGAGTTGGGCTCGAGGCTTTCTCCATCATCGAGGTACAGTTCACCCGAGGCAGTTCCCTTGTCGCCGAGGGCGGCGAGGAGGGTCCAGGGGGTGTTGCGAGCATCACGGGTGGTCAAGGCAGGCTCCTGCATGGGGAGAATGCTGTCACCACGCACAAACACGGGGATGTGGCCCAGAGGAGCGGCGATAGTGGTGTTGACATGGGGTTGGGCATCGACGGCAGTTTGGGTATACCAGTCATACCAGACCTCGCCTTGCTTGATGCCGGGGAACACACCCTTGACGGTGGTCGCCAGAGGTGCGAGGACGGGAACGACCATGATGGAAGGTCCGAGGAGGAACTGGGTGTCCACGGCCGCCAAAGAGGGGTCATTAGGGAACTCCCAAGCCAGTGCGCGCATGACCGTCGATCCGGTGGTGTGCGCCTGTTGGAACAACGTATACATGTAAGGGAGAATTGCGTAACGGATCTTCATGGCTGCCTTGGAGGCCTCAGCAACGGAAGCCCACTGGTAAGGCTCCTGGCTGATGGCAGAGAGCACATTGTGGTTGCGGTAGAAGGGGAAGAAGGCCGACAGCTGCATCCAGCGGTTGCAGAGCTCCTCGTCGGTGTTGCCATTGAAACCACAGGTGTCAACACCGAACATGGGAATACCAAACAGCGAGAACTGGAGAGCCTGAGGGATAGACCAGAACATGTAAGACCACTTGGAGTTGTTATCACCGCCCCAATGACCAGCCCATTTACCAGTTCCGGCAAAGGTCGAGCGACCAATGATGAATGGACGCTTCTCAGGGAAGACCTTGAGGAGACCCTCGTAGGTGGCACGAATGATGGAGTGACCATACAGACTGTGGACATCGTACTCCTGAACACCATCAGAGTGAGTTGCGTTGGGAGAGACAGCGTGCACCGCAAGATCGTGGCCAGTCTGAGAGTGGTCGATCACGTATGGGGGGTGGTTCACATTACGAACGCCGGGAGTAGGCGTGGTGCGTAAATAGGGGGTGGTGGTAGTCGCAGACTGTCCGGTAGCCGCAGCAGCAGAAGCTTGGCTGGCAGATGCCGCAGAGGCAGAGGCAGCTTCGGTCGAGTTTGTGACATTGAAGCCCTCGGGGTAATCGTAGATGATGTTTCCAGGCTCTCCAGGAAGCGAGAATGGCGGATGGACTGGGTTTTGGCTGAGCTTTCCAGTACCACAGCTTCCGACACAGAAGGAAGAGACTTCGTTCATATCGATCCAAATACCGTCAAAGGCAACCTTTTCGTGCCAGGTAACAAGCTCATTTGCCCAGAAGTCGCCGGCCTTGGGGTGGTGCCAGTCGGCGAAGACGGTGTATCCAGGCCAGACGGCGCCAATGTAGGTGCTTCCGTCGGGGTTCTTCAGGAAAACGTCTAATTCGGCACCACGAGTGTATGTGTCATACCTGGATCACTTGTCAGATCCAACAATTTCTTCTTGCAAGGGGAGGATGGTAAGACTCACGCGTCGGACGCATTGTTGGGATTCGGAATATAAAGAGCAGAATCAACAATAGGGATGTAGTGGATGCCACTCTTGTGTAACTTTTCCAGTAACACGGCTCCCTCTTCATAAGAATAGCGATTCGCATCATTGTCAAAGTCACGGTAACCATGCATGTAGTCAATGTCGTTCCTGGCAGCACATTAGCCTGATATTTGATTTTGTTAGGTGTTCGTTGGGTGTTCAACATACCAGATGTTCTCCAGAGGGATCTCAAACTTCTGGAAATTGGCAACCACATCCTCCACCTCGGACCAGTTCTGGTATCCCCAGCGGCACTGATGATAGCCAAAGGTAAAGTACTGCTGCATGGCAGGCAGACCAACCGTGCTAAGTTGGTAGTCCTTGGTCACCTCCGTCTGAGTTGGGCCCGCATAGAGGGTCAAATCGATGCTACCACCGATAGTACGCCATGTGAGCTTCTCGGTTCCAAGAAGGATCTCCTGGCCATGAGCATTACGCAGGAAAACACCGTGGGAGTACGAGACATAGTTCTTGGAGGTCAAGGCCTGGTCACTGGACACAAGAGTGTGAGATCCCTTGCCATTGACTTCGTAGTAGCGAGTATCCAGGTAGAAAGCGTGCGATCCGTAGGTGTTTCTGTAGTGATTGGCGGTTAGTACTGGGCTCTGCTCGATCATCGCGGGAGAAAAAGAATTTCAATAGATTACTCACTGATCGACCGGATCGCCCGTATCCGCAGCATACATCGTGAATGTCGAGTTCTTTAGCAAGCGCAACTGCTGAATGTGCTCGCCGAGTCCATACAAGTTATAGTCCTCGGGCAGAGCAGTAACAAACTCGATGAATTGGTTCTCAAACACAAGCTTGGAGCCCGTAGTATCAAAGAGAACGTCTCCGGTAGCCTTGCGGGCGACCTTGAAGCTGAAACTAGGCTCATTGGACCACGAGACCTCGAAATGACTGTCCTTGGCAGACCCTTGCTTGTCGGCCTTGGGGCGCGGTACTACATCCTCGGAGAGGCTGTACCAAGATGCGTTTGAGGCATCCACATGGGAAGGAGTGATTTGGAAGTTGACCCGCGTGGAAGACAGGTACTCGAGAGTAAAGTCCAGTGATTCCACATCGGTACCGTATACATTGCAGGGCTTGCCCGCCAATTTCAAGGTCGCTGTCCATCCACGAGAATTGCTTTTCACGTTCGATGCCCGATAGCCAGGGCAAGCGGACTGCGCATTGACAGCCTCGGGGTCATCAACGTTGGCGATCAGGTTGGCACCTACATCGACGCTGGAGTCGAGGGTAGTTTGGACATACGCTGAACTTGAGGTCTGCGTGGCGGCGCCATACACCGCTGGCAACAGCCAGGTTCCAGCCAAAAGGCGCGTTAGACCAACCATCGCGATCGATTCAACCCGCGACGAGGAGATCGTAGAGGAAGGGTCGTTACGCTATGATTAGGTGCGATCACGGCTTCGTTTTCTCCGTCCCTGCAATCCGTCTGGCACCGGTCCTTCTTATAGTATGCGATGGGGTCGAGCACCACTCGAGGGCGATCGCGATACTGTAGCGCAACACAATCACCAACGTCAGCCCCAGGGTGTATCTCTCTTGTTGGGGACTTGGTAGGATGGCGTAAAAATTTCCGTTGAATCTCCGTGCATAGCGGGGACGCGGTGGGATTTCCCACGGTGTCGAGCCAACATTCCAGAGTGGGCGCATGCCTATGCGGGGTTGTGAGGAGTCGCGCCCAAGCTTAGCTACGCCTAGCGGACTGGCTGGCTCGGTGGGTAGTTGCACAAAGCGCAATTGCGGGGATGGGATCGACATTATTACATTGCACCGTGCGTTTAGGACCGAAGAGTGGTCTAGGGACAGGGGGCCGGGCGACACGGGTTAGACGAGCTCGACGGGTTGCACGGGGCTGGGACGGGCCCGGTGAGGTTGCTACAAGCCGAGTACTTGGTAGTCACTGCTGAAGACTCTCTTCTTCACTCTTGCTTGGGCCCACGGGCTGTGAAGTCTGGAGGTTCCATCGTGGAACCCTGAAGCTAGCGAGGCGTGATTGGTTGGTTGTCCGATAATTGCCCGCGGCCGCAGAGATGGTGGGGAACTTGCTGAATCATAATGCACCGAGCAGGACGGAGCTGGAGCGGTTGGAGGTACGTTACGAGTTAGTCCTGCTATAATTCAAAAAAGGACCCTTTTCCTAGTCAAAGTGATAGACACGGGCGATTTACTAGACAGATCCCTCCTCGAGAGAAAGATTCGTCTTGATTGATTGGAAAGCATTGCGATACCACTTTCCCTCCGTGGGAGACGGGCAAAGAGAGCATACACAGACTCCTCCATGTAACGCTAGGAAGCAAAGCTGGGGAAAGCGGAGAACCTTGGAGGAAAGAGACTACTGTACACATCGTATTGTGGATGGCAATTCCTCATGGCACAGTCTTCATCCAGAATAGTATCTACACTAGCAAGTAGTCTAAGGTCTGGCTTGGTCTAGGGGATGAGGACCGGTGAGTGTTTTCAATCTAGCGGCACACTAGAAACGAAGAAAGCCGAGGAAGCCAATGACGAAATGTACTAAACACGATGAAGGGCAATCTGGGGGTCCCTTCATCTCGGGAGGTTCCTGTGGCGGAATGGGATTTCCTGGGGAATCCTGTTTGTAGAGACCTTGGGTCTGGGGGGGACGAGGAGGATACCTTTTCCCCCATTGTCCTTTTGCGACCCTAACGTGGAGAATTGGGACACACCGAGATGAGGTCCACCCATCATCCATTAACGGGCTTAATGACCCCCTCCCCCCCCGTATGTACGGTTCGTGCGGATGTTCCAAGGTCGTCGGTCGCACTGGGACGTGTGTTCTGTCTCGCCAGTTGCTCATCGGCTTCCCGAGGAAGTATCATCAACTAATCTCGGCATCTCAAGCCCCAAATGGAATTTGGAACACAGAGAGAGGCTTCTAGCGTCTCGGAGGATCGTATTGATTGGCTGATCCAAAACAGCTAACACGCACTGGGCGCCAGCCCACATGCAATGCTATTGATTCTTCCATGGAGCCACCCGTTGAAGACTGCGGAGACGCGGGCTCATCATGGTCTAGTCACTCGCGTAGCGGACCAACTGGACGCGACTAAGGCTGCGGCTAGGGGGTAATGAGGTTAGCTTGGGAGTTAATCAAGGTGAGAAAATCGCGCATGGCCCCGCATAAACCGTCGAACTTTCTCTCCGTTCTCTGTCAGCGACGACCACGGACCACTAAACAGCCGTTCCTCCCTCGGTCTGTCGTGCAGCCGAGTGCCTGACGGCCTATTCGGCTCAGCTAATCCCCTTCGGACCTGGTCAAGGCTAGAATGAGGTCTTACGTCGTCCCTGCGTGCCAAGGGTATGATGGACAGGGGATATACTGGAGCCTTCGCTTAGGCGCCGGCGTAGGGAGGCTTGCTGCATCGTTGAATGTTTTCGGCATAGTCCTGGATAAGGGAGACTTCTGGAAAGATCTGACTCGAGGAACGAGTCGTGCCATTGGATGATGAAGATAGTGAGGTAAACTTAATCCTAGGCCTATTCCTTGCCGGCAGTCAGCTAGGGATCAGAATCCTCCGTCGAGGACAGGGTAGATGTAGCCATCAGGCACGAAATCTGACGACGCTCGTACGCTAGGCAGTCAGCCTCTGACAGTCTATCACCGGTGAGGGGATAGATGAAGAGGGGGGGGGAGGAGGAAGAGGCAAAAAGAGGAGGTACGGGAGGAGTAGTTGTAGTCATAGTCCTCGGGCGAGGAGGAAGAGAGGAGGAAGAAGCAGGAGGAGGGTATAGAAGGGCGAATTCAAGGCTTCACAAATCACAAATTCCGTGCAGGGGCCCTTTTGCGGGGCTTGGGTGGCCCCGCGCTTCCCCAGATAAACCACTGTTTTCTTTTCTTTTCCCTTCTGGATCTTGAGTTTCTCTACTTTCTGTTTATATTTAGTCCTTCACGACTTGCTCCATCGGACCATGACAGTCTACTAGACCCACACACTACTTGGAGCTGCTGCAAACTCGACAAGTCTTTCTCTTCCTTCGTCGACCTCCCCTTGGAGCCTGACAAGCAGCATGGATTCAGCTCCCTCGTCCAAACCCTCGTTCAAACAGGCATGTGATAATTGTCGCCGGCGTAAGATCAAATGCTCTCGCGAGCTCCCGTGCGATAAATGTCAACGTCTGCTACTATCGTGCTCCTATAGCGATGTCTTGCGTCGTAAAGGGCCGAAGTTTCGGACTCTCTATCCTTTGGCCCCGATACATCCGTTATCGGCCCGAAATGAGGCCACTCAGGAGCAATTCTATGCCGACCCAGATGGTTACGCCGACGCAAGGTACAGACTGAGCTCTCCGGCCTCTCCGGCATTTATGGTGGCAGATGCACAATATGTACCGCAGGATTTATCGGATACTCTCTCCCAACTACCGCCACCAGAGCTAGTCTCTTCACCGGACTCGACCGATTCGACCGTCGAGTCAATTCGTGGTCAAAGCCAATTTATGCCCAATTGCCGCCGCCTCTCGCCACAGATTTTGCTGGCGCATGTTAATGTCTATTTGAAATACTTATTCCCGATCATGCCGGTCGTGCGGGGGGAGCAGCTTCGTCTGGATAGTCAACAGCCAGAACATCTCTCGCCTTCCAAATATGCATTTCTCGCTGCTCTTTGTGCAGCGACTCATATCCAGCTGAAGCTGGACGGGGACACACCGGTACCGGACCCCGCTCGTCTGCAGAGCTTGGGTGATGGCCACTCCTTAGTGTCGGGAGAGAAGCTGTTAGCGGAAGCCGTGCGGGCACGACGGGAATGTGACATTGTCGAAGATCTGAGTATCGAAACCCTCCTGACTTCCTTCTTCTTGTTTGCCTCCTATGGAAATCTTGACAAACAAAGCCATGCCTGGTTCTACCTGTGTGAAGCGACCTCGATGACGTTTACCCTGGGTCTGCATCGAGAATCTACGTATGCGGATCTCAGTGTGGAAGATGCGGAGGAAAGGCGGCGAATATTCTGGCTGCTCTTTATTACCGAGCGGTAAGTGATTTGATTCTCACATCTTCTATGGTTCCATTGACTAAGTCAAAGCGATGATCAACAGAGGTTATGCACTCCAGCAGGCCAAGCCAGTCATGCTCCGAAGCTCGATCCACAAACCCCAAGTCCTATGTTCCGAAGACCCCATTCTCGCATACGGCTTTATCAACCTAATCGGCATTTTCGAAAAATTGACCTCGAATCTCTATGACTGGGTCTCCGCAGGCGGCGGCGAAGGGCTCTTGGAAAGACCTCCCACATCAGCTATCCAATCAAGCCTGTGCAAACCCATCTCGCTCGATGGGGTGCTGGAAATTCAACAAGTTGACATCCTCATTACACAGCAGTGGCTGCAGGCGATGATGTGGAAACTATCCATGAACCATGCAACTCAACCCGGGGCCCGCGACGAGGGTGTGCTACCTTTTCATTTGCCAGTTCTAGTAGGCAAGGCCGTGATGAGCGTGATTGGCTCTGCATCCCAGGGCGCAGTGGATGCCCATGGAATTGGAATGGTAAGTTGAATTTGCAACGCTCATCGCTCAACTGAAGAACACAATTCTAATCATGAATTCAGGAGCAAAAACTGTTCGACATGGGTACATCGGTCGCCGATGTTACGCGGTCCTTGGGCTCCAAGGCAGTGCATCGACTTGCAGAATCCACGGTCGACCCTCGCCAACTCCTCTGGGGTATTTTGCATACCCTGTCACAGATCCGGGGCTCACCATCGTACCTCTTTCCCGCCCTGTTAGAACGGTCCAAGTCCGTGCTGGGACTCGATTGCACCCTGACCGTTGGTAATTTCCTACCAGCACTTGGTGACCACGCACCTGATCAAGGGACAGAGCACAACTGGGCCGGTGAACAGGGATGGGATTTACTCGCAGCATGTCGAGATCTGCATGTCATCCGCGAAGTAGATGGTGATCAGACTGAGCAGGTTCCTCCTCACCTCTCCGGCATGGGCCTCGGGGGTGAACTCGGATTTTAGTGTTGTCTTTTGTTTTGAACTACTGTTGGTTGTTCTCGTGTATTTTTGTTCTGGGACTTTGACGTTCTACGAGACTTTTGATTGATGATACCACTCTGGCGTTCGTTTATAGATCGGTGATTTTTGATGCGGGGATGCGTTGTATATACTTGGACCTAGAAGACATATTGACAGACGAGAAGGCTATTCTTTCGTACTTCTTTTAATGTGAATGAGTTAGAATATTGCTGCATACATATTCTCTATCTAATCTGCCAGCCCATGAAGCATACCTTCTAGAATAAGTAGCCCTGAATCATCTGGTAGAACTGATCTCAGCGAATCATTCACGAAAGGGGTAGAGAAGAATCGATATTTTGATAGATACGGTAAGTAACAAGGTTACCCAAAAAGGCTTGCATACGGATTCACCAAGAATCTACGAGGACACCCGCATTTTAAAAATTAATCAAATTACAACCTGCTCCAAATCCTACAAATAAAGACTTCAGATGTACTCCGTATTAAACCAATAAGAGGGCAACGAGCAAGGCGGCCAATCATCAGCTATGCCGCTCCATACTTTTCAAAAGGCTTGGCATGTTTGCCTCGGAGGTTCTCGTTACGAATAGCTTCAACTTTCTCGGTTCCGGCTGGATAAATTGATTTACAACAGCTGCAAATAATGTGCTGATCACCAAAGTATGTGAAATTGGATTATTTGACTATTGTATATGATTCCCAGACCCAGCTAACGGTGACCTCCCTCTATAGCCCTGTCTTAAAAGGCCTGCCAGAGCTCAGACTAGCAGCTCAGACTCGTGCAAGAGTCTCTCGTCCCATACCTACAATCCAACAGGCTCATTAGCCTCCGAACAACCAACATGGCATCCATTCGACCCCGCCCTAACTCTCTCCGCGCCCTCCAGGCTGCGTCGACAGCAGCGCGACCAACATACCGACACTTCACTTCTCGTTTCCCCTCATCCTCTCCTCTCTCCAGAAAAGCGCCCATCACTCGCAACCACTCTACATCCTCCGTCTCTCCCGATGAACTCTCCCACTTCTCAGCCCTCGCCAGCTCCTGGTGGGATCCAATGGGTCCATCCCGTATCCTCCACCTGATGAATCCCCTCCGACACGAGTTCATCGCATCCTGCCTAGCCGACAGCCCTCCTCCAACGACCACCGACACCGCCAGCGCAAGCTCCTCAACCGCCGCAAACCTACACTACATGGACATTGGCTGCGGCGGCGGAATCTTCGCCGAATCCCTCGCACGCACAATCCCACTCGACCCATCCGCTCCGGCGCCAACCGCAACCCGCGCAGCCTCAATGACAGCCATCGACCCGTCCACAATGCTCATCCAAGTTGCCCGTGACCACGCACGCATGGACCCCACGGTCGACGCACACCTCCGCAGCGGAAAATTCAAATACCTAAACACCACCCTGGAAGACGTCCTCGCATCCGGATCCCCATCCGGATCTCCATCCGGATCCTCTCCATCCGGGTCCACGACTGGCGAAATCACGCACCCCCAGTTCGACATGGTCACTCTCTTCGAGGTCATCGAACATATCGACCCTACAACGACGACCCCGCAAGCCTTCCTCTCCAACTGCCTGCGCGCCCTCAAACCCGGCGGCTGGCTCATCGGTTCTACCATCTCCCGCACGTTCCCTTCCTTCCTGCTTAACCAGGTCATTGCCGAAGCGCCGTGGCCGATTGGCGTCGTCCCGCGCGGTACGCACGAGTGGAGCAAGTTTGTGAATCCGCCGGAGCTCCATGCGTGGGCGCAGGAGGGTCTGATGCGGGCTGCGGATACGGCGACCAGTCGTGGCGGACCGAGTGCGCTGGAGGGGATGGATTGGAAGTGTATGGGGACGATTTATGTTCCTGGATTGGGATGGAAGCTGGTGCCGGGATCGGAGAGTTGGGGGAATTACTTTTGGGCAGTTAAGAAGGGTGTTTGATTGGGCTGGGGAGAACTTGTAAGATTACTTTGGATTTTGTGTAAATATAGAGAGAATTGATCCGACACACACTTAGTATCTGTCGCTATAAAGGTTGGCATGTACGCTGATGGGGACTTCGCAATGTCTCCATTTATACGTCTTCGCAGAACTCTTGACTAAGTGCAGCGATAATTCAGGATCCAGCTCATGAAGGCCATTATCATAGTCATTCAGTCATGATATTCATACAAAACAGCACCTTAGGGCTATCTACTTTCTTCCCTTCCCACGGTTCTTCTTCTTCTTCTTCGCCGCCGCCTCTGCCGGAGGGTCAGGAACACTAACAGTACCCTGTTCAATATCCTCTCCAGCACCCTGCAGCTTCTGACTCCCACTAATGAAGAACGTTAGATCGCGATTCTGCTCTTGCAAATCCACAATCTCCGCCTTCAACGAATCAACATTACCCTTGAGCGCCGCATTCTCCGTCGACATATGTTCCAGTCTCTCCATCAGACTGGTATTAATAGTCTTCTCCTCACGGTAATCTTTCTCCATACGGCGCGCCAGGGCTTCAAATTTCTCAGCCCGTTTCTCGAGACGGCCTTGTTCGCGCTCCATGCTAGGGATGAAGTCGGACGAGAGAGCCTCGTATTGAGCCTGTAGCTCCGCAAGGCGAGCGGTTGCCTCGCTCGCGGCTTGTTCGGCAGATGCGGCGGCGGCACTAGCCTGCGAGGCCTTGTCTGCTGCCCGCTCAACGATCTCCTCAAAGTAAGCGCGTTGGCTTTCTAGCTGTGAGGTGAGGAGATGCGTGTACTCGACGCTCATGTTCTCGAGTTTCTCACGCGGTACGGCGTCACCCCAATCCGGCGGGTCGAGGGCTGAGTGGTCCGCCGCAGGGAGCTCGACCAGTTTGCCGTCCGTTTTGCTCTGGATGATGCGGTGCACGTATGCGTCGCCGACATAGTCCCAGACGCGCTGGGAATTGAGGTCTATGGCAAAGGCATGGGCGGTCTGCTTCCAATGATCAAAGGCGTGAGCGCCATCGTAGCGGCCACAGCCTACAGAGCCGCAGATCAGACAAGCCCAAAGATTGACGTCTGTGTGGCAAACGCTGCACTCGGCAGGCTCCTCGTCGCTATCTGTGGATGCAGTACCCTTGCGGAAGTCGTCTTGCGTGTACCGACAGATGGGACATCCGCTGCCTTTCCATTTTTGCAGACATGTACAGTGGAAAACGTGTTGACAGATGATGGTGAGAAGACCCGTTGTTTCGTCCATCCGTTCGAGGCATACGGGGCAGGTAGGGAGTTCGATCAAGGCGGGTGTAGGCGGCGCAAGAGGTTTGGTAGAGAGTGTAGCTTGACTAGCAGATGACACAGGGTATTTATGGGAAGGTGAAAGGGGACCGACGTCGGTGGACGGAAAATTCGATGGCGGTTCGGGCTCGACAACCTGAATCTCGACTGATTTCACGAATACCACATGGCAAGTCTCGGGCTAGCAAAGGGTAATGTAGTTAGCATCAAGGAATCCACGCCATTGCAATCCTATCAAAGATCGAATGCATCTCAAAATAGTCAAGACATACCTCCATGCTATTGAAAACCTTCCCATTCCACTCCTTCTGCCATGCCTTCGCCTTCCCTCCACTCCGGAACTTCATCAACACCATGTACCGGTTGGCGCGCGGCGTGCGTATCATCCGGAAATGGCTCACATCATCCATCGTCTTCTGACCCACAAATCCCAAAAAGTCCGGCGGTGACAAGTAACTCGGCACGGCCAAGATACACAACGTAGTGCACTCATCTTCTTCTCTCCCAGACGACGATACCGTCATTGGGAACGGGTACGCCTCGAGTTCTGCCGAGCCCTTTCCCCGAGAGTGAGGCTGTGCGCGACTCGCACCACTGGGCTGCTGCTCACTTGGGTGTCTCGCTGCGGCGGCCGAGCCCTTGAGGTAGGTCGGGTAATCATCGTCGTTCCCGGCGAGGTATGGCGTTTCCTGGACATCGCGGTACAAATGTACAATACCCCAGACACTATCACCGACTTTCTGATCGAGGGGGATATAGCGACCCTTTGTGCGCAGGCCGCCTAGGATATCAGTGCCAATACCCGCAGTCACAAGATTGTCTTCGTTGCCAGCAGGGATCGCAGTACTCCCCCGTTTTTGAGTCCGCTTCCCGGATGCATCATCAGGGAGCACCATATCAATGCAATCAATGAGGATTGCTCCAGCACGAACGTCGCTTTGGAGATCGGAGGGGCTATTGGGAGAGGTAGAGGGGTAGTTGTGGGCGGGAAGCGATGATGAGGGCGAATGGTGTGCGCTGTCGCTAGAGGTGGAATCGGACGAGGAAGAAGCGTGAGAGTTTTTGAACCGTCGCTCAAGAGTAGTCTCTTTTCCCGGTGTATGGGTGTGCGCCTGCGTGAATTGCGAAGGGGAATCACCCCCGCTAGACGTGGGATTGGAAGTTGAAGGCCGGGCCCGCTTCTGGAACGGGAGCAGAGCTTCCCATGTAGAGTCCAGGGCCAGTGATGAAGCGGCAGCCGCAGATTTGGGTGGGTGAGAGCTGCGCAGGACTTCGAGACTAAGATGGTAAAAGTATGCGGGCATCCCGGGCGACTGCTCACACGGTGATGAGGTCAAGATGCCGCGATTCTAAGGAATCCCAACCTATCCTGATTGCGATAAGAGATATGATGACCTAAGCAGCCCCGGATCTCCAAGTTGATGCCTGAGGTTGTCAAGTTGGCGATGTATCACTGGTGGCGAATGAGGCAAACCGTCTGTAGACGCGGGTCGGCTGGACGAGCCCATTTTGACTTGACCAGTCTGTCTGATTCAGCAAGGTTAAGTGGCTACGGCAGGGTTCCGACGTTCTTGAACCTACTGCATACAGACCGGGAAATAGAACAGCCACATATGCTTCACCCTCGTATTTTAGATCCTCCTCAGAGAGGCGCCAGACATCATCCGTCGGGTATTGTCAACATTTGATGTGGAGAGTATGGCGGTTTGTTGGGGCTTCAAACTGCTGCTGCTCGAGTCACTCTACAGCACATTGCGCATGAGCAATCTACCAATCTCAGATTTACGATGTCTAGACGTTTACATTTTTTGAAACTACAAAGTCTGGGAACAGATACCAGCAAATAACAGCGATCTAGCTGAGTTCATTGATAGAAATACTAAGATATGCCCATAGGTACCGTTGTGAGAACAAAAAAAAAGAAGCCTCAGCTTCGAAACCGACCAAACGCCGTGCAGGTTCATCAAGAACCTATCGTAGTCGAGGATTCATGAAAGACATCGAGAAAGGAGAGGAGCCAAGTGGGAACCCGGCAGAGACTTTACTGGCCACCACGCAGACGCAGCACCAGGTGGAGGGTAGACTCCTTTTGGATGTTGTAGTCCGACAGAGTGCGACCGTCCTCGAGCTGCTTACCAGCGAAGATCAGGCGCTGTTGGTCTGGGGGAATACCCTCCTTATCTTGAATCTTAGACTTGACGTTGTCGATGGTGTCGCTAGACTCAACCTCCAGGGTAATGGTCTTTCCGGTCAGGGTCTTAACGAAGATTTGCATACCACCACGCAGGCGAAGCACCAAGTGAAGGGTAGACTCTTTCTGGATGTTGTAGTCAGAGAGCGTGCGACCGTCCTCGAGCTGCTTGCCGGCGAAAATAAGACGCTGCTGGTCGGGGGGAATGCCCTCCTTATCTTGGATCTTGCTCTTCACATTGTCGATCGTGTCGGAAGACTCCACCTCCAAAGTAATGGTCTTGCCAGTGAGGGTCTTGACGAAAATCTGCATACCACCACGGAGACGGAGGACCAAGTGCAGGGTAGACTCCTTCTGGATGTTGTAGTCGGAAAGGGTGCGGCCATCCTCAAGCTGCTTGCCAGCAAAGATCAGGCGCTGTTGGTCGGGGGGGATGCCCTCCTTGTCCTGAATCTTGGACTTGACATTATCGATGGTGTCGGAAGACTCAACCTCGAGGGTGATAGTCTTGCCAGTCAGGGTCTTGACGACTGTGGCGGGTAGTTAGTAACATAGAACGAATCCAAATACCAGCGGCTCTTTTTTTGAGTGGGGGGCGGGTAGGAGTGGAGCAAAAGGGGGGGCGAAAACGTACAGATCTGCATGCCACCACGAAGGCGCAGGACCAGGTGGAGAGTAGACTCCTTCTGGATGTTGTAGTCGGAAAGAGTACGACCATCCTCGAGCTGCTTGCCGGCGAAGATCAGGCGCTGCTGGTCAGGGGGGATGCCCTCCTTGTCCTGAATCTTGGACTTGACGTTATCGATGGTGTCGCTGGACTCCACCTCAAGGGTGATAGTCTTGCCGGTGACTGAGAGAGAGACAGAGTTAGCAGGATTGTTCGAGTGGCGACCGATGTTCGCGACCGCAGCGCCTAGATAAGGGAAAGGGGAACTCACGGGTCTTGACGAAGATCTGCATGATGGAAGCAGTTCAACGATGATGGGGGAATATGATAATGTGGTAGAGGAGTTGGAGATGGGGGAAGGGTGGAACGCAGGGTAATGCGAAGATGGGTGGATAGGAAAGTGGAAGAGAAGGAGAAGAAAGAGAGGAAAGACAGAAGAGGGGGTGAGGTTTAAGTAGGAAAGCGATATGGGATGAGGAGGGGGCGAAGCGCCTTAGTCAGAAGGGGCATGACGCGCGAACGTGCTAGAATGGACGGGGGCTGGGCATAAGGCAAAAACTACAAGTCATAAAAACTTAGACTTACTTAGACTTAGTAAGAGTCTCTAATCTATTTTCCGTATCAACTGCTTGAAAGGATGGATGCCGGGGCGCCGGATGAGTCAAGGATGCCTAGGGACTTCGGGGGTCGGGCCACCTAGGAACGTGTCTCTTGACGCCACCGGGCAAAACGGCAAAAACCCGGTTCCTATGAACGTATGAGCAGTTCCGGTTCCTGCACTAAGGAAAAACTTTGATAGGAGGCTATACTTGATAGAGGGAGTACAAGGTGAAAAATTCGACCTAACGATTTCCCGTGTGTTGCCGCAAAAGGAGGTCATTATCTCGGACGGGTGGCAGCCTCGAGAGTAATGATGGCGATGACGTGGGAAGGGCTTATCGTGAAAAGAGGGGGTGGGCCGGAGATCACCTGAAGCCTGCTAGCGCCATCGATGGAGTCCAAGAATGGACGTTTGGGGAATAGTCAATACGATCATTACATGTATTGGGTACCAGGCTGTACACGGTGAAGTGGCACTGCCCCGGGTATTCTATACTTAGTTGAGTGTCATGTGACTGGCCCAGGTGAATCCGGATTCCGCCATCGGCAATTTCCTCGACTGTGAACAGTCCTGGACACCATGTATCATTGTTTACTCGTACTCGGGCTCCGTCCTTTCAACCCCGAACGCGGCTAAGATCAACAGCACTATTGATCTTACTGTCCCAACGGTCCTCTATTCAAGGGGAAGAGTACCTTGCGAGGCCACCCTTCGGCATTATACCCGAGAGTGCTCGGCTCAAGTTTCAGCCATGGCCAGTCAATACTACTACAATTGCTGAGCAGCAATCAGGAGACAGAAATGGAAGGATATGAAAAGGATGTAAAATAGAGATATCGATAATATAGACACGATCCCGCAGGCGTTGAGACGGGAACATTCCACCCTTCAACGCCGTTTTCCTCACCACTCCTAAGAAAAAAAAAAAAATTCAAGACAAGCATACGACGAGAAGTCGAGCTGTCTGCGGCCCTGCATGTACAGAGCCTGCGGTCTGTATCCTGGGATAGTCATCGTGGCATCACAATAACTGCCGGGACAGATACCAACAAGCGCTGTGGCCACGAAACACAAAACACAAAAACAGACACGCACAACACACAGTCGGCCGTACACGGTTCATAACGTTCGTGATCCTCGTTCATCGCTGGAAGCTATGCGAGAAAGGTATACCACAAAAGACAAAAAAAGTCAATAGACAAGAGAGTAAAATAGCACAAAAAAACACGGAATTCGACAGGGAAAAAAAATGGAATGAGGGGGGCGGTTTTTATTAAAAAAAAAAACCACGATGCAAAAACCACAGGCTGAGAAACAACCGACTCGCTAGGAGTGGTAAAATAAAAAACAGATCAGATCGGAGGATCGTGATAACATCGTTATAATGAGCGGGGAAGACGCGCTTGCGCATCGATCACGACTAGCGTAATTTTGGGGGAAAGGGAGGGTTTCTTAAGTCATCCAGGTCGTGGCGTTCAAGGCTGGAAAAACGGAATAAATCGCTGGGAGACAAACTCGCTATTGGCAAAAGCATAGCAGTAGTCGTGGAAGATAAAAGAATGCATTGATCGTTCGCTCATCATGTGCATGCGCGTCGTTCGTTGGAAGGTCTAGTTGGCCCGGATGACCAGGCGAGACACGAATTTGTTGGACAGGCAGTCGAAGTCGCCACGGTCGAATTGGGTGCCAGAACGGCCACGAAGGTAGCTCTCTGAACATGAAGGTATTAGTTAAAAAGGTCTTGAAATCAATAGACTGGGTAAGTATATGTTGGGGAGGATATTATTACCATGCTGCTCCACGTGTTGGCGGACTTCGGTCATCGTGTTGCACACGTCGGGGTTGGAGTACAGGAGGTGGTGGTGTTTTTGCGAGTCCCACTCGGTGAAGGGCGGCAGCTTCTGGGAGATGGCCTGGAAGAGACCGACAATGACACCAACCGGGGTAGTCTCCATGTCGGTGCAGAACTTGTCGACGGCAGCCTGGTCGGGGGTGCGGTAGTGGCAGTCGAACTGCATCTCCTCCCAAACGGCCAGCAGAATCGATGCGAGCACGAAGATAGTCGGCCAGTTCTTCAACTTGTCACCGCTGTACACACTGGAGTACAGGGCTGACAGCTCTTCCAAGACATCCTTCTGCAGCTCACGCCACATGCTGGCCATGGCGCACTTGATCTGGAAGTTGATCATGACGGGGGCCATGGTCTTGCCGCGGAATTTGGAGCCCGGCTCGTTGATCCGACCAAGGAATCCATCCTCGTCGCCCAGTCCCTCCACCATGGTAACGTGCAGGGTCAAGTTGTAGGCGATGATAAGCTTGAGCGCTTTCCGGATGACGGGCAGCTTGGTGCGGTAGTAATAGCGGAAAGCGGTCTTCAACATCTGGGTGAGGAAGGGGGTGCCCTCGAAGTAATCGTCCACAAACTTCTCAAAGGTGCCGTTGCCGTCGATGTGGCGGTCCAGGTAGTCCGACAGCATTGCATGCGAGATACCCTCCATACCGGCGGAAAGCTTGGCAGTCTCGACCTCGTACGCCGTGGGCTCGCGGTGCATCGACTCGACCCAGTCGATCGTGAAGCACTGCTCATCCCGGACAAAGACCTCCCGCGCGGCAATGGGCAGGATCTGACCGTACCCGTGGGTGATGTACAAGGTACGTTCTTGATCCGAGAATCCCTTGATGTTGCCGACCGAGAATCCCATCGAGATGTGTCGTTCGTAATCCGCCTTCCAATCCTTCATGAAATAGCCAATCTCCTTGATATCAATTCGAGTGCAGGGCACTTGCCACAGACGGGCGTGCGACGGCTGGCAACCAGCGCAAGGCTCACCCTTGTCACACGTCTTCTTCAAGAACTTGCAGCGCAGACAAGCACGCAGCTTCCGAATCTCACTGGCCTGCTTGCGCTGGTCGGGCTTGAGGGGACCCTTACGCTTGCCCACACGCTTCTCGGTCTCGGGCTTGCCGGTCTGCGATTGCTTGCGGACCTTGGTCTCGGCCGTCTTGGCCGCGATGGGACTCTTACGAGACGGTTTCCTGCTCGGCGGCGACGCGGACGATTGCGAGCCCGATGAGCGCGTGGGCGAGGTGGACTTCTTAATAGGAACTGGGATTGGGCGAACCATGGCACTGGGGCTGACCGCCGATGGGGAGCGAGAACCGGTACCAGCACCGGAGAAGGGGGAAGATTGCTCCTCGGTCACACGGCGGACCATGGAGGTACTGGTCGGGGAGGTAGCCAAGCTCAAGGCAGTGCTATGGTGGTTGTAGGGGAAGTCCATGTTACCTTCGGAACCGGGAGAGCTGATGGGGTTGGCGATATCGACGAAGCTGCCGTAAGAAGTCGAGTAGGACGATTCTGAAAGACTGCGATCATGCAACGTCTGAGTGGGGTTGACGAAGATGCCCTGCTCCGGGAAACCGAAATCCAGCGAGCGGCGGTGATCGACGGTACTCCAACCATTATCGCTACTGGATAGGGAACGGACCTCGAGATAGGTGTCCGTCGGCGAACTGCTCTCCAGAAGAGGGTGCGGGGCAGCATATGAAACGTCCGGCAATCCATTGAAAGCCATCAAATCGGCTTGGAAGTCGTGATAGGTAAAGGGCACCATGTCGACGGGGGCCGCCAGTGGCAGATGATAGGAATTATCGAGCAGACCGGCGCTCATTTGACCTTGAGGACCGGCGGACATGAGATCCACCGGGGACGACTGAATGGCCATTCCATAGCTGGCGGCCGTGAACTGGGGCGCTGACGACGGATCCTCGGGTGAATATGATAATTGTGGGTGATGGTGAGGGGTCTGTTGCAGTTGTTGGTGGTAGTGCCAGTCGACCATCAGGTTGGGATCTTGGGCCACCGACTGTTCCAGGGGGTGACCGCTGGTTTGAAGCGGCGACAGATCATGAGCATCCTCCGGGCGCGAGGGGTTTTGGTCGACGGCTACGGGCCATGATTGCGGGAGATAACCTCGCGAGTCGTAATCGACGATGAGGCCGTCACTTGATATATCGACATTTGACATTGCTTCGTTAAAAATCGTGGGATTTGACCACCAAAAGTGGTATTCGAGGGGGGGGTGGTTGATCGGGAGAAGGGGAGAAAGGACCAGCCTGGATGAGAAGGCCTTCTTCAGAGAGGCCGAGAGATGCACACAGCCATGGGGAGGGAAGAGGGACGAGTGAGGCGGTGGGGGGCACAAAGCAGCGGTGAGCAAGAGATGCGCTAGGGGATTTTTAGTGACTTTAGTGGACTTGGGGGAGCAGACTGGATGTTGTCCGAGTGGAGTAGCAGAAGGCTGGGCCTGCACGGGTGGGGAGGGGGGATGTTTTTTTTTTTTTTCCTGTACGGAGTTGGTGTATGTACGGTAGTTAGTCTGCTAGAGGACTCTAGAGGACTCCGTACGCTATCGCCAACTCTTTTACTGCCACGCCGACCTTGTCATTCCTCGGATTTGGCTCCATACAATTCCCAGAACCGGTTGGTTTGGGGGTTAGTGCGCGCCTCGGTCATCTTGCGCGATCGGACAGTCCCATGATCTTCACGCATTCTTTGTTATTACGAGCAGGACGGATTCCGAAGTCGTATGGAGATTTTGTACAGGAGAGGGTCCGGGGCGCTTGGGAATATAATCAAGAGGAGCCTCGACGGAATGCGGACTAGGCAGCCTGATCGTGGATGAGATTCTCGTTCAATGCTTTGGTCGAGGACAGTATATAGGGTTAGCGACGGTACTGTTTAGTATCTCTACTACGGAGTACAGTATTTCCCGAGTCTGTCATGGGGGTTTATTCTGTAGTACCGTTACTCCTCGCCGTGGATTCCGACTCCGTAGACAGTCTTCAATAGTCGACGGGCCAATGGCTTTTTTCCCCTCCAGTCTAGTCAGATTATTGAGCATCGTGGGACCCAGACGTGGGCAAGACGGGAAGGACGGTCGGAACGGGAGATCAGTGGAGCCCAAGCGACGGACAGAGAAGACCGGGAAAAAAGTCCTGGGGAGCGTGGCAATAGCAGTGGCTCTCCAAGACAAGACCGGTAGGACCGTGCTCCATCATGATCTGACACCTGATCGTGAGCGAAATCGATCATTCCCGGCTAGTCCGTCCAGTGACGAGACATGCCATGATAGCCCACTCCTTCCTAATTGGATCCCCGTGCCACGATGTTCGGGAATATCGTATTTCTCTCCCAGAGAGACCCTCCTTCCTCGCAAGTTAGCACTAGCGGGCGCCCTCATCCTTTTGGAGGAGAACAAAAGTTGCACCATTCAAGCCATTCATAGTGGGGTGCTGACCATGCAGTGGACGAGGTGGACGAGGGACAGGGATGCCGCTGGTTGGTGAGAATGATGACGGAGGGGCTGATCGATTGGTGTGAATTTGCCCATCGCGGGCTTTGGCTGCACAGCATCTCCGCGACCGACAGGATCATCCAAGAGCTCAACTTGGGTGTGAACTCTTTTTTTTTTTTTTTTTCTTTCCTTTCCTCACAGCCCAAGGGCTGGGAATAGTTGGAGAGCCTGGGAAGAGTCACGACTTCCCCAGGCGCCCCCAAAAAGGTTGAACGTGACAGGTCGTACTTGATCCACCAAGCCCAACAAGCTGGGCCAAAGCTGGGGGAACCTCTGTTCAATGCTGGATTCGATTCTCTCAGCACCCGCTTGGACCTGGGGCATGCAGTCTGGCAGCAAGGGAGGAAAGATGCAAATCAACCATTCTGCGCTCGCTGGACTCTGTACTGGTTTGCACGATGAACGGGATCAAGATATTGACGCAACGCACCAGCCACCGTCGCGTGCAGATGGTGATTTGGACCGGATAGATCACATCACCGTGCATCATGGCCGAAAGAATCCGGCCGTTACTGGACGAGACTCGTGGAGGGTCGGGGACTGGGACAGGCTCCTCGAGCAGCCTCTCAGGAGTACATCTCCCGTTTTGCCTCGCTGACATGCAGAAACGGAGGATTTCAATATCACTACGGAAAGCCACTCTGCACGGGATGCAGCTCTGTCAAGGGAGCTATGACGGCTTGAACTACTCTACTCCATTTTGGGATGACTCTTGGACCTAGCCTCATTAGGATATTTGAATTCAGACCAGAGAGCCAGAAAGAAGAAGAGGACTTCACGTGAAGGAGTAACAAAGGAAGCTCTAGGATATCCAGTATAGGGATCAGCATCGCGGATGGAAAGTCGAGAGTCCAGAGTCCAGAGTCCAGAGTCAGAGTCTGGATGGAGGGCGGAGAGGGAAAAGTGGGGGAGAACAATCACCCTTGGGTTTTCCCATTCATCAGAACAATACTACCAGCCCTAGAACAATCAGTCAATCAGTCAATCACCTCGGTTTCAAGGACTCAATCACCTTTGATTCCATCTCCTCGTAGTATATCTCTGTCTATGACCCTCACGGTCCCCAGAGAGAGACTTTGTCCATGCCACCCATCATCGCGGGGCGACACAAACGCAGAGTTCGATTTCCAGCCGCTAACCTCCAACCACCGGCCGTCATATCGACACCTGGTACGGCCCAACAGCAACGACAACAGCAACAGCAACAGCAGCTCCCGGGGAACAAATATCCCGCTCCTCTGAAACCTGCCAAATCTATATCTGGCAATTCCCGTCATCCGCCGAGAATGGCCAGCCAACAAGAGCCCCGGCCGGGGATCCCGGCGTTATTCACGCAGCCGCCGCCTATCCGCGACCCGCTCGTGACGGAGACCGTCGAGCTGCAGGACGCGACTCTACAGAAGTGTCTGGATTTCCTCAAAGGCCTCCATATTTCTCAGGGCTCCTTCAATGCATCCGGAGTACCCGCTCTTCAACGGGATGATCATGTTGCGTATCTCTATGATTCTTTGGAAGATTACCCCGAGGGCTTTGTCGCCATGGACGCCAGTCGCCCGTGGATGGTCTACTGGGCACTGGCTGGATTGACGCTGTTGGGTGAGGATCCCACGCGTTTTCGTGAGCGGTAAGTCTGCAATATCTGCTTTTCTGGGCGTTCTCTATGGGCCGTTTATGACCCTTCCTTCCATGACTGATTGTGATGGACGACCGTGGGGGTACATCTGATTCGATACCTACATGTCTGAGCACCTTTACTCGCGTTTACCCCAGCCGGTTCATTGGGATCGGCAGTGATCTATCGCCCGTCTATCTTGATCCATTTTCGTTTCGGAATTTTGAGTTTCGCTCTTTTTTTTTTTTTTTAAGCTACTGTGGTTGTCACTTTTGCCGCCCACGAGAGCACAATCTCCGCCATGGACGGCTCATCTGCATATGGCTCGAGGGGATATCTCCAGAAAAACAAGGGCTAACCCGTGAAACTCTTGGTTTACTTGCAGGGTCTTGGGAACACTCCGTCCCATGCAGAATCCCACCGGCGGCTTTGGTGGCGGGCATGGCCAGATATCACACCTTGCCGGAAGTTATGCAGCCGTACTCTCACTCGCCTTAGTCGGAGGCGAGGATGCCTATGCATTGGTCGATCGCGAAGCAATGTACGTTGTTCCCGACTCGCGAGAAAGCAGAAAATTTATTCGCTTGAGCGCGTGCGTCTAATTCTAACGCGCCTTCTTTTTTTTTATCTTACTAGGAGGCGATGGCTGGGCCGATTGAAGCAGGCTGATGGAGGATTCAGCGTCACGGAAGGCGGGGAAGAAGATGTGCGGTAAGTCTGAATGGCTGGCATGTAAGCGATCATGCAAGCATCCTGAACGATCACCTCCCTCTTCGATGGTCCTCGGACAAGATGCGAGATCCGAGTCTCTGATACATATTCCCCGTTGTGCAGCGGTGCGTACTGCGCGGCAACCATTATCTCGCTGCTCGATCTGCCCCTGGCTCTGCCGCATGATTCAAAGAAAGCCCGAGACGCAGGCTTTGAGACTTTGACGGATGGACTTGCAGAATATTTGTCGCGCTGTAAGAGTCCCATTCTGGTACTTCCGTTGGCAAGACCTGCCAATCCTTGGATTCCTCCTCTCTGACGGATCTCCTTGTGTTAAATCTAGGTCAATCTTTCGAAGGTGGCATTTCCGGCAGCCCCGGTGTCGAAGCACATGGAGCATACGCTTTCTGTGCCCTCGCCTGTTTGTCAATGCTGGGCCCCCCAGAAGAGACTATTCCCAGGTATGCATAAGATGCAATATCATCCTAAGTTATCACCTTGGGAGAAAGTTCGTCACACTCACTACGTTTGCAGGCACATGAACATTCCCCTGCTACTGTCATGGCTCTCTGCTCGACAGTACGCCCCCGAGGGTGGCTTCTCAGGACGAACGAACAAGTTGGTTGACGGCTGCTATAGCCACTGGGTCGGAGGTTGCTGGCCCTTGCTACAGTCCGCTCTAGATGGGAAGCCACAGTCGACGGGTACTCCTTCAACGACTATTGGCAACTTGTACAGCCGGGAGGGACTGGACCGGTACATTCTCGGTTGCTGTCAATCCCCCAGAGGTGGACTTCGAGACAAACCGGGCAAGTAAGTACCTGCTGGTGCTACACTACTACGAGTGCTTCTCTTTCACCCATGTGTCCGTCGCTAACCCTGCAAACCCCAGGAGTCCGGATTCATACCACACCTGTTACGTCTTAACCGGCTTGAGCGCAACCCAACACCACCACTACCGCACGACTACTAGCATCGTCTCCAGTGGGAAATTTGCCTCGGCATTCTCCTGGCAGTCCTCACCGGTTCGCGGCGAGAATAACGTGTACGACAAGGCTGACCGTCTCGTTGCCTTCCACCCGCTGTATGTCATTCCGCACCAGGCAGCGGCGAACATGCGGCTCTGGTGCGAGGCACACCCCATGACAGCCTAGTGCATTGGACCGGGGGGAGGCGTGAGGATGCAGTGTTGTGTTATTTTGTGCGAGTCAGAAACGATAAGTGACACGCCATTGCGGGCGGAGAGAGATGTCCCGTGGGTATTGCAATGACAGCGGTGGTACGGGAGAAGATGAGGAAAGGTACACAGGGGAGACTCGTGTCTTTGAGGTTTCACTCAATGGGCAACGGAGGGAGCACAAAGACAATCTGACGTGCAGGACTCGCTGAATTTACTCAGGACTTTTTTGAAGGATCTATAGAGCCTCTCTCATTCATCGTAGGGAGAGGCTATATCATACTTTGACCATTTATCTGTCCTCAAAGACTATTCACCTCTACTCTTTGAAGTCTTCAGGGTGTCCTTCTGGGAAACACGCGGACAATCTCGCATGAGTTCGCATTGCGAAACACTAGCAAGCCCAACTTGAGAGCGTGCAGGAACATGTCTTCATCTCGGCTTAAAAAGGGAGAAGAGATAGGCAATGATACGAGTGACGGAGTACAACGTTGATTCGTATACTGTGCTTAAGGATGATCCTCGACAGTCATCTGCGCGCCTCTTGTCCTTCAGGAGTACCCGTGTTCCTTGATCTACCCAACTGTCTCCTATGGGCTCGACGAGTTCACCTCGACGAAGTATTGTGTACCTCTCTCCCGTGGTACATGTGTAAGTGATTCTGGGAGGAGTACTCTCTCTAAAGGGTCGTCATAGGAAGTAAACCTAGCCTTGAGCTCTCTTGGGGATGCTAAATACTTGAATGAGAGACGCAACTACTTAGTACTGCATTCGTAGTAGTAAAATATACTTCTAACTTATCCAAAGACCAAACCTAATACTCTTTCTATTCCAAGGCCGATCTTTCTCCCTCCGTTGAATCGCAGACACACCGACATCGTCTTGTCATGTCTCGTCCTGCAGGTGGCCCATTCGGGCAATCGTGCCTCATCAAAACCCCGACACGCGCGCAGATAAAACAACGCCGTCTCCCCACCGCATGTTGCCAACTCATCATTGCATCCCGGTCAAGTAACTTTGTCAACTACCCTCTCGAATCAAGTCCCGGCCTGGCGTCTACCCTTTGAGGTTTCTCCGCCGCCCGCCTATCGTAGACGATCCTCCCGGCCTCGAGAGTACGTGCTCCACGACACAGAAGGATACTCGTGTCTCCGAATCAATAAGATCGCAGTCGCTTTCGGTCGGCTCGCTCATCTGGCCGAGTCCTCGTTCTGTCCATTTCAAAAAAAGATTTCAAGTCCGCTCATCCCAGACGCGTTCTGCACAACATGAACGGCCCCAGCCCCCCCCCCCGCTTGGCGCCAATCATCCTGGTCCACCAGTGGATTCCTGCAGCGCGCCTCGCCAGGAAGATCCAGCGGCAAAAGGGGAGAGCCATTCAATTGCCTGCGATTTCTCTTTTCAATGAGCTGCTGCGTTTACTGCGGGGCATGAAAGGCCAAAAAAATGGGCCCCGCGCGAAACTCAAACCGGGTCATGGCCGCATGGCGAACGGCTAAGGATTTGATGCAAAACCCGCCAGCGCCAGGGCTGTTACATCCTGTTCTATTTCCATTTGGAGAGAATGGGGAACGGGGATTACGGAGTACAGAGTCCAGGGTATACACCTCGGCTCTCAGGACTAGACTGTCTTTGTCTCCGAGATCCAGTTCAAAGGTTGGCAACTATCAAGTTCCTTTGGATTTCTGCAAGCGATTGTAGCAGTCGGAGCTAAGCTAGCCAACTGTTCCTTGTCAATGCCCCGCCCTCTCTTTCTCCGAGCCTCCCTCCTGCTTTTTGGCCATCGCCCCTCGCCTCTCTTTCCCGCTGGATACCAGATCTATGCCGCTCCCTTGTTGCCTCTGACTTTCCCACTCCCCCGTTTAAACTCTCCGGTGCAAGATGTGCTGTTTAGATCGGCGAATTGCAGGTCAATGAACAGAAAATCCCTCCCATTTCTCTTTTGCCTCCTCAAGGACTAGGATCATGACCGAAACCTAGGACCCAGGCCCGGGCCCGGAAGTGTGTCCCTCCATTCGGCTTGATTCGACTGGCAAGCAGCTATGCCAGCACATCAGTACTGACCTTAATTAATAACCCGCTGAAAAAAAAACATGCAGTACCCCGCCAGATACCAGCAGAACAGCAATTTGCCTTGAGAGACGTTCAGAGGCAATTGCGGACTTTTTCTCTCTTTCTCTCTCTCCCTCTCTCTCTCCTTGAGCCTTGGGGGTTTAATGTGAGCTCGTCAAGTTCCCGCGTATCTATGACATCAATTGCTACTGTCCGGTAGGGATCTGCGATTGAAGTGTTGCCTTTTCCCGTATACATCCAATAAAACCTAGGGGTTTTACATCGGCTAGCTGTCTCGCGTATCCTTGGACCCATACCATGATCTCCGAGAGTTTCCCAAATAGTCGTTTATTGGAATTGGCACAATACAGAAATTATGAGTAATATATTAAGATCCCAGATCATTGTGATGCGTTGTATGCCCCCCTAGTCCCCGGTCCTGGTCCTGGCCCTGGCACTTGGCCCTGTCAGGTGTAGTAGAACTATATCCGTCCTATCTTCTTGGCCCATTCACGAGTTCCGGCGGCGACTACTGAGACGGCGGCGTCCGATCCTTCCGAGGGAACAAAGAAGTTTTTGTCATCTTCTCCTTTTGGTATATGTTTCTGACACTACATTGGGTACGGCTTGTTTTTAACTCTTTGTGCGCTGTCGAGATTGCAACCGCCTAACCCCCTTCCCTGTCCCCTCTTTCCAGACCAAGGACTACGACTGCGGATCCGGAATACTGCTGGATTGGTACAGTCGACACGGTGGACAACTCACAACATGGCTCTTTTATGTACGAATGCATTTCAATGCCCCACCTGTTTCCAGTGAAGTAGATTCCGTATCGGCTGGAAGCAGTCGCCATCTGTCCCCCTCTGTGATCTCGGAATTTAGAATTTTTGCCCCCCTAACTATTTTACATTGACATGTTTATTTTACCAAAAAAAATTTAAACCACAGTGTCTGCTTCGGTGGTACGGAGAACCGTGTGTTTTGTATGTGTACATGTGGCGTGGCATCCTCAACAGTTCTTGCTGGAAGCATTAGTCTTTTCCAGTCATTTAGTCCTCGTTCTTTCCAACTTTTGCTCTTGCACAGCTCTCGTTTTCCCTCATTTCCACCTGACCAAGCCTTAGTAGCCCAGCTGCGGTGTGGTTTGTGTTGGTCTTGGTCGTGTCTGGAACTTGGCCCTTCTCCTCCAACACATTCTACTAGATCCCTGGTCGCTAGCGTCACCTTGACAGCAAACAACGACACCATCCTTCAATTCCCAACCCAGCATTTAGGGCTGACTGAGCTGTCAGTCCCATCTACGAGAGCGGTTCAACGACCGTTGGGCATCACTATCCGCATATCTAGACCCGGAGGGAGTGTGTGTAGCTGCATCGGCCAGGACTTCAGCGTCAGCCCTACCCGCTACCCGTTGCGCGACGACAGCCAATCCATTCGATGCTGTTGAACTAGCCCGCCTTATTTTTTTGTTCGTTGCAAAGTCGACAGTTGGCAACGCTGCTTCCCGCGCTACTTTCCATTCTTGACCCTTTTTTTTTTCGCTCGGACTTTCCGAATCTTCAGGACCCCAAGATGTACTATATGCTTTACCTGGCAAGTAAGTGGCAAGCATTCTGCATAGTATTGTACTTTCCGTCAAACCGCATCGCATTGTTTTTTCTCCGGACGAGAGACACTTCAAGCCACGAGGCCAATTTGTAATGCAAATTCGCCAATGACAACCCTCTATTGCCCTACAACCCCCCCCCCCCCCCCCAATTGACCCTAAACAGAATCATTGGGAAAGCCAAAATCCAAACAGATATATCACTCTAACAATCTATTCAGGCCTCTGTCGCCGGCGACGCTGGCCAGAACCCTCCTATGAAGCCTACGCCACCACATCAGGCTACACATGCGTCGTTCGCGTACACAACCGCGAATATCAAACGGACATCACCTACGAGTCAGAAGTCCTCGCCCGCGAGAGCGCCGCTATGCGCGCGTACCTGATTTGCCGCAATTTCTCCGTGAACGACGGTATGTACCCGGCGGGGCATGACCATGGCGGTGTCGTGCAGGGGATCCCCGTTGCCATCGGTACGGGTCGCAAGTCCAGCCGTGATGATGACACGGATACCTCGTTCAGCAGCAGTGGGGGTAGCTGGAGTGGTGGGAGTAGTCCAGAGCGGATGATGCGGACGGAGCATGGCAGTGACTAGATTTATGTTCCTGCGTCTGGGGGAGTTGCTTATGCTCAACTGGAACCTTTTTTATGATGAGAGAGGGTGTGCGCTGAGCATGTCTGGCATACCGTGCTAGAGATTTGTTTCAGCCCCGGGAATTGCAGCTTCAATTCTCGAATTATGCCGAGGAGGATTAGTGGGGATTTTTTCACGATGACATGACTTATGACGATGGCTTTTTGCATGCTCTGCATTTTTGGTCGAAGCATGAGATCCTGCGCTTTCATAGATGGAAAATTTGTTTTTTGCATGGCTAATGCTGATTATGATTGTCTTTTGTATCGCTCGATTATCGGGTCTCTGATAATGGTGCATAGAAGTGGTGGGATGGGAGTGACGTCCTGAGCAAAATATGTGCCTTTGCGAGCAAGAAGCATATGTTTGAATCATGATGGAGGTCAGCGATTACCTCTTTCTTATATTCTGGAATTGGCTAGCGTCTCATTTGGATTTTGCTGCAAACATCTTGCTCGTCGTAGATAGCAGTTCTTGAACGGCGAATGAGAGTATTCAAGGCGATTGTGTCGAAATAAGGTTGCTACTTGTAGATTTGAATAAGCAAATTGCATCTGCTAATGCAGGAGCATGCAGACTGTGAGTTACGTAGATTTATATCCACTTGAATATAAAATTCATAACGGCAAATACATTGCTTCTCAGTGAAAGATACAAGCATCATTGATCGTGACTAGTAATATTTACATAAGTACCCGAGTAGCTAACCTTCTATAATAAATGTACATTTGGAGGTAATGAAGGAACAAAATTTGAGGAGCCAGTGGATCATGCCTGATTGGCATCGGATCTAAACATTCGGGCTAATACCGGGTGATATCTTTTCAAGCCTTTCAACAAGCTCATTGAAAACGCCTCTTGTATTTTTATACCTTTGGTATTGGTGACAGAGCAAGCCGGACTGAGAACATTAGCAAAAATGCCTCGCAGCCTTAAGGAGGTGATCGTTACCTCTTCACTTCTCAATTGTCAATGTACCGTTCGCTGGTTTCGTTCCCGAATAGTACCAACAGTTTGCATAAGGGATATTGTACGCTTATATATTTGCAGTTTCCTTTTTATTCGGTGGAGAGAATATGCTGGCATGATTAGGAACGTCGATCTCCGCAAGGGGTGCAATATCAAGCAAAGCCCAGGTACAATCGATACGCCATTTTCAAGATTTGTAACTGCCATAATTAGGCGTTCAACTCCGAGGAGTAAGAAGAGGACTGGCTTCATAGCAGAGACCTTGATTGGAGCCTGTGACGATAATTGTCTGTCCATTGAGATCGCCCTTGTGGACCGGTAATTCGGCAGAGAGATTTGGATAGATTGACATGGGGACATCCTCAATAACAGATGAGATAGCTGCCATGACGGAATTTATAGAAATGCTCGATTTAATTGGAATGACTCTGAGGTATGAAAACAAATATTGAAGAGAAAGCTCAATTTCTTCAAGCATTTTATTTTCAAATTTGACAGATCGGGGAGTAGTACGGGTCAAAGACCCTAGAACACGAATACACCACTCCGTCTCAATGCGAAGTTATCTATCCACTCTAAAGGAAGAAATCAAGTGACAGCCTAGCCTTGACTAGGAAAAATCTCCTGCTAGATCTTCGGTTCCTCCTGGATTCAAATTTAACCTCTGTCGGAGACTGGCGTTTTCTTGCTGAAGCCTCTCGATTTCCTCTTCGTATTGCTCCATAGTGTCTTCACTCGCAGATTTCAACTCCTCAATAATCTGGAACACCCGCCACAGACGCAAAACGATGACAAGCGAGCCCACTTCTTCTTCTACCCCACGAAGTGAGACTTGGATGATAAAGGCGACAAGTATCACTATAGAATCGAAAACGTGGAACCAGGTTGAAAAGTACCTTGGTCCTGTTAGAACAGTTCAGAGACGCAAAGCCACAAAGTTGTAGCTTTATTAGGTAAACCATGTTTGAAAACTCACCCCATTCCAAAGCTCAGAGTTGACACGATCAATTCAACCATGAAAAGGCATGAAATTACCAGACCAGCAATACCTAAGGTCTCCTCAATGACTGCCCATTCATGGCCCACCTTATAACCATTCTGCTTCAACTCGCAGACGTGCAACTGGATGAGAAACTCTGAAAAGCTACAACAGACATCTATCGTGACCAACAGAAGAACGAGGTAATGGCCCCATCGAGAATTCAGGAAGTCACGGGCGGATCTTCTCCATCTCACAATGAGGGGTTCCTCAGCGGGAAGAGATAAGAGTGGTCGACGGATGTGGTGATCTTCAAAGAATGGGCGCATATTGGAAGTGAGAAACGAGATGAATTTCTTTGTATGCGGACTAGGTGAATTGATGTTATTCGAATGTAGGTTGAGGACGCGTAACTCGTGGCCAACGAATCTCACGGTCACGTGGTTTAGCTCTCTAAAGTATCGACTGTTTTAGTACAGACATATCAGTAGACATTGCTTATAACTCTCTATAATGATGCGTCAATAATTGTGAAATGAAAACCTGGCCAAATAGAATGAAAATTGTGTGCGATGTGAGTAGATCAGAGTTGAGTCAGGCTTTCACGTCACCAACATCGTAATGTAAAAAAGGACACAATTTTCGAGAGACATGAAAGAAAAGAACATATTGATTGTTTCAAACGTCCCGACCTATAGTTTGAAGTACCTTAGCTTTCTGTCACATAAAATGCTTATCTCTCGAAACACTCCAGGCGAGGTCGGGAAATCGCATCTCTAAACCAGCCGTCCATAGGAATCCTTATCCTCATTGATGGCTCGGAGTCCATCATTGGGTCCACTAATCACTCTAAGGTTATACTATAGATCCGGCTTCCTGCAACGAAAATTTCCAGAACGTACAAGCAAACAACTATTACTCAGGTGGGAGTGTTTATGGGTACTTGTTGTGGACCAGGACCTCCCCCACTTATTATGGGTTTCATGGCACTAATGGTCCAGACAGCATCGTTACTTTTGATAGTGAAAACTCTCTCCAGGTCAACACCTTGAGCCCTTTGCAATCCGACGTCTTCGTGCTTTTAACCCTATATGTGGCCACATTCCCCGGTCTGCTGAACAGAACCTATGTAGGCCACTACGATTGGCCTGATAATTGGCCCCCACCAAACACATTTGTCGCCAACGCAACAGTCATCGAATGTACTCTTCACAATGCTTCCTACTCCGGCAACATCACATTTCCTAGCTAAAACCCCGAGCGGACCAAGCCTGTCCCAGCTACTGAAATATGTATTTCAAAATATCATATTCTCCACAATGATCTCTTCAGTACGTATTGCATCCATTACCTGAAGATTCTACTTATTACTAGCAGAGCAGCCTCAATTTTAGTTCCTGTGGAGAAAACAGTAAAATCTGACGCCAGGTTGCATATACTAGGTTTGATATTTCCTCCCCCTCCGCCCTCAAAGGTGTGCCAGTGACGAGCACTCATATGCTTTAAAGACTTGTTCGAGGGGATGGGAATGGCATGGCCATTGCCCGACGAGGACAATGCCGACTTGTGATCAACAGTATATAGAGTGTATGATTGGCTTTCATATTAGTGTATTTCCTTATCTCGAAGCCTGTGTCTTGTTAAGGCTATACTTAGCATAGCATTAATTTGAAGACTACCGGTTTTGACCATCGAAAATGGCTTCGTTTATTTTGTCAGCGAAAAAAGGCTACTCAACTCTAAATCATCTCAGTCTGGAGCGGCGTGTCATAGAAAACACTTGGTATTGTAACGACATTATTGGCGAACAATGGCTCTTGTTTGAGTCATGAGTCGAGTGTTTCCTGCGGAGCCGGCCCCTGCTCCGAATCACGACGGCCAGTCAAATTTACCGCCGTGCTGCGCTATTTGCGGGGCTCGTGCGTTCAGCCTCAAAATGTCTCGGAAATTGATCCTAATGGAACATAAGCCATGATGAGTACAAGTGCACTAAGCCTCATAAAGCTTGTCGGGCAGTAAGCGAAGGTTACTGCGCCTGCTGGAAATCAGTCCTAAAAAAGTATATTAAAGGGAAAACTCCTTCCTTCCACTGCCTTTTAGCTTGTCTTTCCAATTTTCCAAACCCTACCTGTGTCAAAGCCCGGTCAAAATGCATGCATCTTTCTTCCTCGTTGCAGCTCTTGCAGCTCTTGGTGCTGAAGCAGACAGTTCCAGCAGCACCATCATTGGCTATTTCTCTCCTCCCTGGGATGCAGGCCTGCTCAAGTACGGCGGTTGGACAAGTACTGCCGCCAGCCTTGTTGGTTACAATACCAAGGCGGCCACATACCATGTCGGCTGTCGGAAAGACGCCCCCAAGACAGATTGCGACTATCCCACATCGTGGACGATCATCCAAGGTCCAGAAACAGTGAGCTTCACGGGGAAATATATCGCCTCGACCTCGGACAAAACGACTAGTTACGATATTACTGTGACTCAGTCTTACGAGTGCTCCTTGAAAGCTTCGACTGAATCTGCCAGCTGCACAATGAGTGCGGGCATGAGCGGATCAGTGGACGGAGGGAAGTATGAGTCTTCCACCTCCAGCGAGGCGACTTACACGACAGCGCCAATTTCCAACTCCTATTACCAATTGACGGTAACTGGAGGACTGAGCTCGCTTACGGCTACTCAGGCAGCCACAACAACTGGCGGTGCTGCCGTTGGACCTGCAGGGGCTATCATTACGGCTGCTCCTGTGGTTGCTGCTGCAATGGCTGCCCTGCTGTAATGATGCTAGATACCAATTTCGCAGTGTGGTAGAGACAGGGGCTTCCTAACATTCACCCTGGACTCTTGGAGGGGCTTGAGCATAGTAATTGGGGCCAAAACTTACCTCCATTCTCTCACGCTAAACCGGTGACGGTTAGTTCCTCTCTACCACACGGGTACTCGGCAGACGCTTTGAGACCCATTTTTTTCAATTTTCCCTCGCATTATTACCCCGTTAATGAATTCCCGATCTGTCATATCTGGTTGTACCTGCAAGAAAGTTGTTCCAAAATTTTGTTGATGTAGGCAACGTCCACAGAGGTGCCTCTTGGAAAACTTAGCAATGATTCACTCCTCCTGAATATCTATTCAATCCGTGACTTGGCCAGCTACCACTTGTGTTTGATCAAGCTTCCACTAGTAGTGTACTCGAGCAATGTTTCCGTCGGCAACATTCGGCCTGATCTTAGCGTAGTTGCCTGCAAAGCGCGGTTGCCGAAATGGACACGCTAGTCCGTCGTAGCTAGGGCCAGGGAGAGTCTTGTGAGGTGCAGACCCTGGTCTTGCATATTTGATCAGTGCAACCTAAGACGGTGATTCTAATGTAACCTAATCATTGCTAACAGTCCAGGCTAAGCAAGCGTTGTTCGGTAATCAGATCAGGCTCTGACGGGACCTGCTCGTCTAACCCGTAATTATGCGGTATTTAATTGCTCTAAATTCGCTTCGGCTCTCGAGTAGAATCAACACGTCAACATACACCACACGCGGAAGGAAAGCTCAAGCGCGGGCGAAGCAGAAAATGGAAGGATTTTGGAAACCATATAGGCATCTTTTCGGCCTTTGATGTGACTGTAAGTACACTAAAGCGTGACTTGAGGTTTCGGAATGCTGAACTCCAGCTTTAACAATCGTTTGTATTTCTGCTGCAAGCTAAGTATGGACTACCTACTGGCAGCATAAGTATTAGCTACGCCCAGTCCGTCCCTTTGTACAAACGAAGTTCCCCAAAAAGAACTTCTCAATCCACACTCGTCCTATGATACATTCGTGTCTAGCGCGTTATCTAGGGAGGCCTAATTTCATCCACTGCTCACCTTGCAACTAAGCTAAATTTCAATATGGAGACCTTGAGAGCCCGGGATCTGACCAGTGATATCGCAATAGTCACTGGTGCTGGATTCAACATGCCTGGAGAGGTCGGCAACGCCGGACGATGCGCGAAGAAACGACCATAGCATACGTAAGTCTTCTTGTTTAGCTCGTATCGTCGTGCAACTTGTCGGAAACGAAATGGGTTCCAACGGTCAGCCTACTCCTAGCAGCTAAAATCCCGATGGACACTGTTAATGCGGTGGTCGATGCCAGGAGAGGGGAGAGAGGACCACGCCGTGGGAGAGGCATGATAGCTATTTGCTCGGGGAGACATCGGGTTTCACTCACAGTTATAAGGCTCGTCACCATGGTTAAAGGAGCGCTGGATCGGACTGCCTGGTGCCCAGTTGCCCTTGCTGGGGTCAGCTTGACCGAGTGCTGCCGAATAGATAAGATAGGAGCGTGATGATAGCATTCACAATGGCCTCTCGATAGACCGTAGTGTTTGGATATCCCGGCGGTGCGACGTAAGTGACCGGACACCAGGGCTCCCTCGGGCATTCTACCATCCGAAGTGCACTGGTGTTCTTGATTCGAGGGCGTAAACGGCTGAGTAGGCGGAGGGCCAGAAGTTCCGTTCCCATCTCCGCACAGCCTTGGCGTGGTTCGCCAACAATCGCCACATCAGCCCTATGGCCCTTGACTCAATTGGGACAGACTAGACCCCTATATCCACATCATCTGGCGAAGATGATCAAGACAGGCAGGATTCTCCGTAACCATGAGGCCGTTGGACTTGTAAAGAGAACAAACCGGATGACCTCCGACCCCTAACCCTACAAGACACTATCAGAACTGCTATATCTCACAAAGGTGCATTCACCCGATAGCCGGTTGAAACCAACATTTTCTACCCATATTGATTTACCTGATACTTCTTTAATCTACCGTAGGGCATGGGACTACTAAGAAAATGCTCGAGATGCTCTGTAGTTATTTTGTTAGTCCCTATTCCGAGTTATAGATGACCTGAAAGCCTGACTGCTCGAACTCTGGAATGACGGCTCCCTCTAATTGCACTGAAAACACATATCCGCGCTTGGCTGGCTGATTTTGCTCCTGCAAGATCCCAAGCAAGTTGCTTCTTTTGATGTGGGCCTTGAGCAGGAATTCGGATCACGACCCGACCAATCTCCAGCCACATCAAGGATTAACACAGCCACATTCTCTTAGGCGGTCAGTCACCACGTACCACACTGACGTCATTGAACTGGTACTTGGCCAAGGCAAGGAAACATGGTGAAGAGTACGCGACGATCAATGTGCCTGGATCGACTTAGCTTGTTGTCGACTAGTCAGCTGGGCTAATGGCAGACAGCCAGTCGCATTCTCTCTGGTTTCTCCACAATCTCGCCAAACGCCTCTGCGTCATGGTCACGACTTGACCGCGTGCTCCATTACCTTCCTCCGCCCTCCCCGAACTATGTGCATTCGCGTCCACGTCCGGACTTGACCTCGGAACGACGTTAACAAGAAAGAACCAGCAAACGATATCTATTAAAAAAAATATGCGGCCAGCTGCACGAAGCTGTACGCCCTTCGCCCCGTCGATAAGAAGCCGGCAATGCTTGCGTGGTCTTGGAACACAATCGCTTGCCGCAAGGTCCAGGCCAATTGCCCTGAAAGCTTGCTTGCAAGGGCTACCAGAGCGACCAATACCTTCTTTGCCTAGGAAAGAGCATCTGGCACTTGGAATCTCTCATCCTTCGCTGTTTCGAGGCCCTGGAGCTCTCGCTGGGCAAGGCCAGGCGCGGTTTTTCAGAAAGGCCAACTACATCGAAAAAATTGGTGACAACGAAAGGACAGAGGAGATACAGGAAATACTTGAAGTGAAGGATGATGAGCAAAATGATCAGCCTCAACGAGATATACTGGATGGAGAAGGCAAGAAGCAATCTCCAAAAGAATCGCAGATGGAGCAACAGTCGGAATACATGAATCGGGGTACGTGAAAGTTCCCAAAAGGACTTCTCAAGGCTTTGTTGACAAGATAACACAGGAAAAATGTTAACAACGCCCTCGCGGCTGTTCAAATTGATTATTCCCCTGACGACGATGACCAAGGATCATGACAAAGGTGATTGAGCTCTGCATACATTAATTGATGTTGCTAACACTTCAAGCAGGGATTGAACCGATTGCCATCTTAGTCCATCCACAGCAGCCCCTGTCGTATCTGGAACGATTAATCCAGTCGGAGGTACCACCTATCGATGGCGAGAATATTAAGCGCCCACCCGCTATATCCTTCATTGCGCTGCAACACGAAGACAACGCAATAAAGCCAAAGAAGAGAGCTGAAGACAATCACGACGTGGATTCGGACTCTCATAACGCTGATTCCAAACCAAAGGAAGACGGAGTTGATCAGAAACCGGGGAGTAGGGCACCTATTGAGCAACGGCGACGGTCTCGAGAGGAGGATGCCGAGACGTACAGCTACCCCCGCAAGACAGACTCTAGTCTTGATCCTCTGAACGGAGAACCAGAACGGTTCGTACGGTGGTCTCAAGCCACTGAAGTTGGCGATTTCATTCGCGATGCAGCTCGCGCTCGGGAGTTTATCGTCACCATCGAAGGTGCGCCAGCAGGACTGGGCCATATCAGAGTCACGGTGCCATCATTCAACGAGCGCACATATTTCTTGCGCATGAGGCTGCGGAAGATATCACGACAGATCCAGGGAATAGCAGAGATCAAACATGAATGTGATAACCTGGCGCAGCGCGGAGCAAGGCGTGTCGCTATTGGCGGCTTTGGAATTCTCGCCACTTGGTGGTTCACTGTCTACAAGCTAACCTTTGAAACGGACTTGGGTTGGGATACCATGGAGCCGGTGACCTACCTGGTCAGTTTGTCTACGCTGATGGGCGGTTATCTCTGGTTCCTATACCATAATCGGGAGATCTCCTACAAGTCCGCGCTCGACTTCACTGTGAGTGCGCGCCAGAAAAAGCTCTATCAACAGCACAACATCGATTTGCAACTTTGGGAGAGCTTGATCGAAGAGGGCAAATCTCTTCGTCGGGAAATCAAAAGTATCGCTGCTGAATACGACGCCGAATGGAACGAGCTCGCTGATGAACAAGATAAGCGAGTCACTCAAGCGCTAAGATCCGAGGGAAAGAAGGACGAACAGAAGAAGGATAAGGGCGACAAAGATGAAGAGGACGATGATTGAAATAAATTCATTGTGAATATTTATTCTCATGGGTACCATTCTGATTAGAGTCTCTTCTTGATACCAACTCTCACAGCGTGCATTGCATTACTTGTATTAACCCACTACACTTTCCACGCTTCCCATCGAGACCATGACACCCGCGAGGTAAATGCATCATATCTCGAGGGTTCAAAATGCAATTAATCAAACAAACCAGACCAATGCACACATGATGGCCCAAAAAATACAAGAACTCAAAGCAATCCACACCTAGAGCGTCCCATTTCGCACTGGATCGTAATAGCCTTTCTTTGGTGACGCAGTCTCTTCCACCTGCCTAGTCCTCTTGTCTATACCTCCAGAAACCGCCCCAAAGGATTAGCTTATTGACGCCGACAACAAACACATTCTCCTTGCGTAGAACTCTTACCAGACTCAGGTCCAAGCCCGTTATTCTCTCCCTTGCGCCGATTCCGGTTATTGCGCACATCACGCGAGCGGAAAACGCTGTACAACAACCACCCGGCAACCCAGTTAGGGCCGTACTCGCCATTGGTACTGCCACGGTCGAACAATGGGCGCGTGAGGGGCCCAGAATTGCGCCAGATCTCCATACATGCCCACCGTTGGTGGTCTGGTCGAATATGGTGCCAGAAAAATGGAGGGCGAGTGGTAGGGTCCGCGCGGACGCTGTCGAGGAGGTGAGACGTATCCTGATTCATGTGGTTGTAGACCATGATCGCTTCGTCCTAAGTGTGCTTAGCTGTGTTGCTGGATTCTATGCGTTCGTAAAGGTGGGAGCTTTTGTGAAACTGATAAGGGATGTCGATGGAGACGACAAGCTTAGTAGGCTACTTACTCGCATGGCACGGTAATACTGTTCATGCTGTGGGTCCTGTGGGTTCAAGCCAAGCGCGTGCATGAATTCTTCCTTTGAGACTCGTGGACCGACGGGCATCATGATCTCGTGGTGATTGATTATTTGGGCAATTGTTGTCGGAACTCGGTCGTGAGCTTGTGTAAGGTGATGCTGTGCTAGGTTGACAAGAGTGGCTTTGTATGAAGCCGAGCGAGGGACAAGTATCACGAAGTCTCAAAAGTTCACAGTAATACTCAAATTCAACTGCAAATAAAAGACAAAAATGAAGACAATGGTTGATCCGAGAAACCGGTATTCAAGCCAGAAAGGAAAGGACCGAAGCTTTATATCAATGGCTCATCTCGGACCAGTGGCACTTGTCCCCGAATTCTGGCAGTGGCTGTTATTGCGCAGTACTGTTGTTGTTGTTGTTGTTGTTGCCAGTATCCACCTTCATGCAATCAATGGTTATTTGACAGCGGGTCGACACAGGTATAACGAACGACCTCGGACGAACGATCAGGTATAGCAGGCCAAGGACAATCGGCGCGGTGGCTAAGCGACGTCTCGAGCACTGCCGCGATTGAAGTCGAAGCGAAACAGTAATAATTGAGAACCAACAATGCAGGCCTATCAGAAGCTCTGTTCGTTAGGTGCATCGGGGGGCAGTGAGACACACGGGGAGACAGATGGAGAAGAAGGGTGGTATAGCTACCCGACGGAGCCAACAAGAATTCGAAGCAAAGATAACAAAAGCAAGAGGAGCCAATAAAGGACGGGTGAAGTAAACTAGAAAAAAATGAATTATTTGATAAGATTAGCTAAGGCGGGGGACTTTATCTATCATTCAGTCCGTTTATGGGATCCAGGAAATAGGAACTAGCCCAGGACCTATCCGCATCAACGCGTCTGCACGATCCGCTGGTCTTATGGGGGAAATGCGGTTTGGTTGTACAGCTTGCCTGTTCTTCTTCTCACACCCGTTAAAATACAACCCCGGTTTACGTCAAATCATCAGTTGGGCCAGGTAGAATCGGGGGAATTTGTTTTCGTGTGCTGGGGGAACATTACCCAAATAAGGTTATGTATGACTCGGAAATGCCCCGATAATTGAGAGCGTTATCATTTGAGTCAGATGAAGCAGAAAAAAGAGGGCGCCAGATAGATGCAAAGTGCACAAGCTAGTTCAATGAATGATATCGACCTCGAAAGTACGGTTGTACATCTCTTTCGTTTTCGACGCCGAGGGCATCGGGTAAGCAAAGTCGCGGTTGGCGGCAAACCGGGCATTGGCATCGCGAGACATGCAATGTGGGCTCGAGGACTGAGCGCGGAGGGAAGTTGACAGCGGATAGATCTCGAGGGAAACCTCGCCGAGTTCGAGTCTACTATCCGAGACAGACGGACAGATGGTTTATGTAGAGATGCATACAGGAGATGAAGAGCTCGGAAGACTGTTTGTTCAGGTCGACGTTGGTGATCCAGGCCTCCGGAGACGGAAGCCATCAGTGGAGCTGGATGTTGCCTATGCCCGAGACTTTGAGAATATGTTCGTATCCGAGGAAGGGAGTCAACTATACTCGCGTAGTCGCTTTCGAGGCTATCATTTTTCTCATTATACAATTTCTTCTTAAGGGCAACGCTAGTTCGGGGAAAGCCGGCCACATTCACGCTTTGCATCACATACTCGATCGAGTAATTTGGAACGTAAGCATGCCAAGTAGAAGCCTACCGTCCAATTCAACCAGTGGATACCTTTATTTCCGATATAAGGTCCTTTCCGAGGCCATATCCACCCAGTGATATGAGGCAAGCCTCGTTGGTCATGCTGTGCAACACAGTGAGCCGCCCCAGCCCGGGACTCAATATTGCAATATTAGCATCCAAAAAAACGGCCAGCCTACGTGCATCTGCACCGGAACGCCCTCCGCTGCAAGAACGGCGCATAAAATCCAAGCCTGCCTGCGCCGATTGCGGGGAGAATGTAAACAAGCGGCCAGATAAAAATAAAATTACGAGTAGTCTGGGAGGCTAAACCCTAGGTTCAGAAATACGCCGTAGATTCAAATAAAAAACCAAGAGGAAATCCATGCCGATTTGGTCTCGACTTCTCCTTTTCCCGTTTGCACATGATTCACCATCAGCAGACGACAAGGAGGGGAGATGCTGCAGATGGATAGACGACAGACCTGACGAGAGAGCATCCACATCAAGGTCAACGGAAGAAACCTAATATCGCACCGCGTAAGACAAATCAAGCAACGGGGTAATGGTGTTCGGGATATGTCCTGAACCCATTCCGTCATGATCGCCATGATCATCATACACTCGGGGACTCTAGTGCAACAGAGAACATGCTCAATACTGCCATGTGCTTTAAAGCTAGTCATACAACCCAGGGGCACAAACCATGAAACAATACGACGGGATGACATGGAGAGAATGTGGCAAGCCACGTAGCTCGGTCGAGCGGGACTAACCCTAGATTGGCTCGAAGCCGGGGAGGAAATGAAGACAGGGAAGGACAACGGGGTCGTGGAAAGGTTAACGCGAAACGGCCAGTATCCCCTCCCTCATCTCTCGAATACCCGTTTTTAGTGCCCGGGATGATCCTCAGTATCAAACCTATCGGAACTCTTCTGTTGGGTCTGGTGGTTTAGGGTTCCGCATCGGGGCGGCGGTTGGTTGTTCTCGCAAGACCCGGACGTTACATGTTACTATGTGAAGTGCACGAGGCGAGGGTAGACGAGGGACGTCATTTGCGATGTTCCTGTGGTTTCTAATTCTGCAGGCTGCCGTGAGTTGTGTAGCTGGAGGCTGGTCTACAGAGATGTATTCGGTAGTTGCTCTTGCCTTCTTTCCTTAGTCGGAGCTAGGAGACTTTATTTTGGGTGGCATTAACGACACGACAGAAATGTTCGTGGCACGACAAGGCTAGTCCTCGTAAGGAATACCCTCTCATTCTACGTTCCTTCCTACCATCACCCTTTCCTAAGGTCTTTTTCGAGGTCGAGGTCTTTTCTGAGGTCTTTAAATAGCTATCTACTTCACCTAAATACGCATGGATTTTAAAGAAGGCATATTCTAAATAAAATTCACGTAATGCTGGCGTAGATAGTTGCTAATAATACTGGCGAGAAACGTTATTATATACGATTATTAAAGCTTTAATTAATCCATATCTACCCTAGAACCACTGGGGGATTTTCTACTACAGCTCAGTTGAAAATAGAGAGAACGTTCCCTAAGCAGAAAATGGCTGCCAACACAGGCGGCCTCCGCCTCTTTCAGGAACTATGTTAAATACGTCAAGATATCGCAGATTTCAACGCAAAGAGGGCAAGATCCGACGCGAAAGTGGCAGAATTGGCCGCTCAGATGGCAGAATCCGATAACCTTCAAGTGTTTCGCCAAAGCTATCTCGATATCCGTCGAAGGACCTTTACTACCTAGTGTACTGGGGGAACTGCTGACGGATTTCGGTACTGTTTCTGATTGGTTGAATCGCTGGCTCTCACTCAGGGATTCGGCCTTGTTGGCCTCTTCGGCCCAGAGCACTGTTGTGGAAGGGGAGGATAGTCTTTATATTGTTCTTCCCGTCGGAAGGATCTTTCTTGAGAGACACGAAGGAGAGCAGCGAACTTTTGGGAGATATTCATTCACTTCGAATTCATCTTGCTTTCTTTATTCTTTGATAGTCGTGCCTTCTATGAGCAGCGGATTTTCTAGAGTACACTACTCCTCTTAACCAGGCCTCTTAACCAGGCCGAGTCCTTGGCCTTCGGAACCACCTGTCCTCGGCAGCATGGGTATGTTTTCTCCACATCCTCTTGAAGGCCCGCAGACTGACGCGACTCTGGCAGTTCGAACGCGCTCACACGACTTCCTTCCCTTCCTGGTTGCCCATCTCTTCCGCGCATCGACCTATCTGTTCCGCTCAGACTGCCACAGAGCATCCCCTCGTTTACACTAGGTACGAGATGCCCTCGGTAAGAATACCCCAAGCCGGAGCGCGGCCATCCGAAGTCTCAACAAGGATATTGTCCACGCCGGCGATATACGGTTCGATGCAAACTCGCCATTGAGCGCTTCACGAAAAGCAGTAGTGAACGGCAAAATTTCAGTGCTCTCTTACGGCCTTACCGCGGAGAATGTGAATGCTCTTGGTATTATTACCAATTCCCTCAATACTCATTCTTCGCTAATACATTCCAGACCACAGGAAATGCCGCGGATCGCTACAGACCTTGAACAGAGCAGCATCAATTCTTTTTGATAAATCCAAGAAAAGCCTTGAAGAGGGGATGGGGGAGGAGCGTAAGAGGCTTGTCGCTCTGCTGCTGGAGGGGAAGTATGATGACGCTGAGGCATTGAGCGGTGCTGTTCTGAATGGGAAGAAGGATGATGCGGGTTGGCATTAACGACACGACAGAAAAGTTCATGGCACCACGAGACTAGTTAGTCCTAACGAGGAAAGCCCCCCTTTCAATACAAAATGCCACATTCAAAGTTCCTAAAATACCTGCCGAGTTCTTATATATAATTCACATTAATACTTCTCGTGAATATCTTTAGCAATAGGCACGCGACCTCTATCTATTTATCGTTATAATATACTATCATTCTTCTCCCCTTCCTACTATTATTCTTCTTTACAGTCTTTTCTACAGTCTTTTCTACAGTCTTTTCTACAGTCTTTTCTACAGTCTTTTCTACAGTCTTTTCTACAGTCTTTTCTACAGTCTTTTCTATCGTCTCCTTTAAGGTCTTTTCTAAGATGTAGGCTTATACATACATAATGACTCTACTAGTATTTGGTAAACCTCGAATCTAGCATTCTGTATTGAAGGGGTGGCGCTCCTCACTAAGACTAGCCTCGTCGTGCCATAAACATTTCTGTCGTGTCGTTAATGCCATCCTTATCTTATAGCATGACAAGGAATGGACTACGGGATACAAGAGATGCCCCGGGGGTATTCCCGGCTGATAGTTGACTATTGGGTATGACCAAGCTCCCAGGAAATCTCAGGTGTACCCCTGAATCAAAACTGTAGTGGATACTCGTCGCACAGTCTTGGTCCATAATCAAGTCGAAGATGCAGGTCCCCGTTGCCGGCTTTCAAACACCCCAGTCGGGAGCCGTTCAGCTGCCACGGCGCAAAGACGGA